TTCAAAATAAAATGCGATAAAATAAAAAGACTTCGGCGACAAAACGTAGATACTTACGAATGTGCAACCATTTCGCGGAGTCAATTTTTATTTCAAATAGTAGCTCGTACGTGGGCATATGGTTGAAATTCGCAACTAAAATTGTTTTGCTATCGGAACACGTTATTTTGGTAGGTTTATACATATTTACCACAAAAGCGGCTCAGCGCGAGATCGCGGGATCCGTTCCCCAGTTTTATTTTTCCAAGCTCTAAATGGAGTCGGTGGAGCATTTAAATAAGCTTCGTCGCCTGAAGTATGGTAATGTTAGTAATACGCCAGAAGAAACGCGTCAGCGATTCAAACATCCGCCATTTTGAATTCATGTTTTTTACTTAACCTACATTCTAGTTAAGTAAGCAATTTTATTGCTAAAGCAAATTGTATGATATTATTTTTTAAATGATGTCAATTTTATTTATTAATTATACTATTACTATCGAGTTAACGCTCGTTTCGATTGGGTGCGTCCTGTAAGGTGCAAAACGGTAACCTACATATTATCATCTGTATATCCATCTGTATACGAAATTTAACCCAAAACCGTCAAGCCGTTTTAGCGTAAAGGAGTTACAAACATACACACACCCATGCAAAACTTTCGTATTTATAGTAGTAGTTTGATACATAATTACTTACTACTTTATCGAAATCTCACAAATATGTACATTATATTTGCCAGATTCTCACATGTATCGCGGCAACATTAACGAACAAGCTCAGGCGCTTTGTACAGAAGCCGAACAGCGATAGGGCGGCGTCTTTGTACTATAATTAGTAACAAATTATGACATGAAAAAGCGACAAGACGTCTGTGGGGCGAAGCGCCATAGACCGTGTCGCGGAACGCTTGACATATCGAAATATAACGATCCACTAATTAAGTTCATATTTAACTACGCGCTAGTTTTTTTATAGTGGTACTAGAGATTAAACATTTCAAATGTATGAAAAGAATAATAACAATTTACTGTCGTTTTTGAAACTATAATCGACCTTTAGTAATTAAAAACTTAGAATAGTACCATGATTTTTTATTACAGTTTTATTTGGAATATAACTATATCTTTAGCAATAATGCTGGGATTAAATATGAACTAACCCAAAAAATGATATATTTTGTCTTCTACCATACAAGCACATATAAAGAAACACTAAACTGGGCATTACAAAACTTAAAAAAAAAAACAAAGAATTAAAGCCACAACCAACACGTCTATTTTTTACACTAACAACACACTGCAACAGTTAAACAACAATATAAAGCGTTAAAACAGTCACGAGCCGGTGAGCGCGCGGCGCGACGGTAGTGATCCATGAACCATGAGTCATGAGCCTGATCCACTCCTACCTAATTAGCTTCCGTAAGCTGTAAATCTAATTTATATAGCGCCGTCAACGCAGCCGCTTTGATCACGATGCAAGTGAAACGGAACGTCAGAAAACGGTTTCTGAACGCAGCGTTTAATTTCAAATGTGGCGGGAATACTCCATGTTGTGCAGATTATTTTGTCTGCATATTTTAATTATTACCAGTGAAATGTACACTGTTGAAATTTTGAAACTTTGAAACTACTAATAGTTCGATGGTTTAAACTGAGAAGATTAAGTGAAATCTCTTTCCATGATTTTTAAACTAAATAAATATGTAGTTCCATGAGGCATCTTAGAAATTGTGTTTGACAAATATTATAGATATATAAGATACGTTTGTATGTGCTCAGGGTAAAAATTTTAATTAACCGACTTTATGTTGTTTCGGACTAGAGACTAAATATAGTTGGACATATTAATTAAATACGAATAGTAAACTACACGAGGGAAAAGCGGCTTGAGAAATCACTATGTGTAGAGATCCACTAAAATGATGTTTTGAAAACATGAATATAAAAATATAAATAGCCTTTCGTAGGTATATAAGTTTCAATATATAGGGTACCATTTTTTACTTGTCTTCTCCTGCGTCTCTAAGTATACTCGCACTGATATAAATAGCCTTTATTATTGAGGAATAATGCAGTTTCATAGGCGGAAACAAAAATTAAGCTTAATATAATGGTAAAATGATATACCTATCTATGGTGAACATAAAACCCCATATCGTCCGTCCACTTCTGATATCTCCTAAAACAGCATTTTCGCGCAAACTTTATTTTAATGCCAAAATTTGGCAAAAGCAACATAATTCTAATTGCGTTTAATTATGATATCATAAAAAGATTTAAACACCAACCACTTATTTGTTTTACCAAAATTCTACACGTTTTTTTTTTTAGTAAATTAGTTTTATTTTCCTGCTGTAAAATTTGTTTGTAAGTAGATAAAAGATTCACGGACAATATGTACCTACTAATATATAAAAATAATTTCCATATTCAACATAGCCAATCAAAGGCAAGATCTTCATTATCACGTCACATATCGTGGGCGTATAATCGTTCTATCATATCACTCAGTCGGCCAGAAACAATCAATTAGAAAGCGATCCCTTTTCAATTATTCCCGTATCGCCGCGTAATTGCCTCGCCCGGGAGGCTCGCATTACCTAACGACCAATCGATTGCAATTGTATTTGCTATAATCATATGTAATAATGTCTTTATTATTCTTAACAATTTTTATATTATTAATAAAATAATTGCTGCGTTCATAAAACACTTAGTATAACAGATACTTCCCAATAATAATACTTTTCCTATTAAATTCCTATAGATAAAAAAATGATGTTTTTCTATTTTAATTTTATTTATAATTTTTATATTTTATTTTTTTAAATATATAGATAAAATTTCCTTCCTTAGTGAGATGGATAGAGAAATAAAGATATACATTTGCTTCTTCTGTTCAAGACAATGAGCGTTTGAAGAAACATTAATGCCCAATCTTATCAGTAATTTATATGATGAAACATTTGATCCATTTAAAAATAAAATTACCGATATTAATCGCTGTTAGCTAACATAATGAGTATTACTAACTGATTTTAACCAATCATACAACACGTCACAGAGTTATGTAATAAATAGAAAACCTTTCAAAACTGATAGGCAAGAGTAGTATTATCATAAGTCCAAAAACAATACCTCCAAGAAATCAAAAATAAAATAAAAAATTAAAAAAGTTGTAAGTATAAAATCTATATATAAGATAAACTTTATATATAGATTTTATACTTTCAACTTACTATCTTTATATATATAATTCTTCTGTGAGTGTGTATGTCACTGAACTTCTCTCAAACGACTGGACCGATTTTGATGAAATTTTTTGTGTGTGTTCAAGGGGATCTGGGAATGGTTTAGATTCACAATTTGAATAATAATTTTCATCAAAAAAATTATTAAAAAAAGTTTGAAATTTTCAAATTAAAGACGTGTAGACAGGACAACGTCTGTCGGGTCCGCTAGTATACAATATTTTATTATAAAAGATTGTCTTTTAATAAATTAATCCATCACTTTTTTCTATAAATGTAACCGCAACGCCCAATCTCACACAGCAGTGTTATATTCTCACATGATTCTCACATCAACTCAACAAGGCGTGAAAACCGCTTCAATTATTACCACTATCAATCAAAAATATGTTAAAAATGTCATGCTTTAATATACATGCTATAAGATTTAAACTACATTTTTATTATTCTTTCATATTATTATTTTTTTGAGAATTTACTGAGAGATACATACATATTTATTTGTACGCAGTCGGTATATAAAGCCATTTGACATACTAATTGGCGATGAAACATAATTAGAAAAATTATAATTTTACATTCTATTCATTTTTTGATGTCCTAAGATACCCAAATTAAAAATTGGTACCTATCAAATGTAAGAAACAGGATAGGAGAATATTAATTTACTAACAACTTACCCTCGCTACGCTTGAGTATATCTCAAAATGCCTTACAGTAGAAACGTAATCTGTGCACTAAATTTAATCTAAATCCGTTCAGTCATTTTACAGTGATTGAATAACAAAGACAGTTGCATATACATACATACAAACTTTTCGCATTTACAATAGTAGTCCTATTATACGATTATATATCAGATCACAATAAGTTAAAAGTTGGGACACTAACACACATCTAGTTCCACGGTAAGCTACGAGGCTTGTGTTATGGATACTAGATAGTTGATACACTACACATATATAACTTTAAATACATACATACATATTATAAACATAAACACCCATGACTGGAGTTCAAACATTCGTGCTCATCACACAAATTAATGCCCCCAGCGGGACTAGAATCCGCTACCGCTGGCACAGCAAGTGGGATCACTACAAACTGAGCCAAACGTGTCATCAAAATAAAACAAACCAATTTTTCTTTCCCCATGGCAATGGCAATAGACATTATACACGTATTTGATGTAATCACGTCGACACCTGAGCCGTGATTGATGACCGGTCGGACCCTAAAGATTATACGCTTATAATTCTATTGTAATTATACATATATTGCTTTTTGATTTAGACTCAGAAATTAGTAATACGATACAAGATTTGAAATGGTTATTCAATAATAAAAATTGATTGCGTACGACATTTTAATGAAGAGTAGATAATAGATATATGTCCTATAAAAGTATAATCAGTCATAAAAGTTATATTACTAGGTTTAAAAAGTTTTTGAGATTCAAGACTTTGCTATGTTTATTTTTATAAGTAAGATTAAAAATAATAATCATGTAGACAAAACAAAAACTGGTATCAAACCCGCCATATTTGGCATAGTAGGCAATGTAACAATGACCATCACATATCTAATTCAAAAAAGGTTGTTTAAGTTCATTAAAGTTGTAAATTGTCAATAAAAATAAAAGACAACGTCAATGTCATTCTAATTCTAAATAGCTTTATCTTTAGACATTTTTCATAACGTAATTTTTCTTTTTAATGCAATGTTTTTATTGTGAAGTACCTCATCGATATGCCATGCTCGTATAATGAACGCTACAGCCGCCGCTGGAATCGGGCTCGCTTTAATCTTACTCATCTTATATGTTAAATGGAAATGGCGAAGCCCTAAGGTATCATGTCTTAATATTGATCCTTTTTTTCTTCTTTTTGTGACATATATAAAAAATTCTATAGATAAGTATACCCCTGAGTAAAAGAATAAAATAGAGAAGAGGATGGAGAATAGGGAGTATAGTAATATAACTAAAAAAGTTAATAATATACTGAATTGTAATAAAAAAATATAAAAACTAATCACTAATCAGCAAATAATATAGTTACCAGACTGACATTTAATCAATCTAAAATACAATATTTCAAATATATTGTTGAACAATAAATGAAGCTAAGCTCAAAGCTTAGCTTCATTTATTGTTCTACAAGATTAAACTATAACGTTCTTTGTACCTATGTGTGTATTTAATGTATATATAGATACATATATAAAAATAAGTTAGTAAAAATATAGATAAAAAATTAAAAAATAAAATAAAAAACGAACTAAAATGATGGGACGATTTTGAGTAAAGTACCTACATACTATTTTGCAGTCGGAGACATACCTACTACATATTATATACATGTTTTATACTTGCTACGTTTAATACAACACTTTGTTATTTAAAAATAATACGACTACTTTTCGCTGACTTCGATTTAAATAAAATATATTAATGTTTTATGTAACCTACTATTTAATTTCCTTTGAAAACTTATTTCTTTTTAGCCTGCAACCACCTATCACATTACCAGCCCCCCAGTTCAATTAGTGCACCGATTATGTCCCCATAACAATGTGGTCCAAAGCTTCGAGGTCGAACAAAAGGACAGTCTTGATGAACATTTGGACGTTTTAACGAGGAAACTCGCTGAAAAGGTTAACTTACTATGTTCTTTGAACGAATTTTGTCTTTAATATGAAAGCTTTCTTCCAACTTAAGTATTTAAAATAACAAATAAGATGTCATTTTAAATACTTAACTAGTTAAAATTACATATTTGTTATTATTGCTCTAATGACATGTTCAATTTTAAAAACAAAGATTTAAATAAAATATACATTTTCACTTATATTCATAGTCAAGCTGGTAATACCTACTATGTTGGAGGTAACAAATTCGATATGTTAAAAGGAAAATGCATAAAATTACGATTACAATTACAACAATAATATTAACCATATAAATCTGATGTACAATTTAGAATAAAGAAATTTTGGAAATGCTATGATACAATACTTCTGGGCCAGTAACGTCTACGATAATTTCAATAGCTCAAATATTTTAATAAAACGATACTTTCGGACCTGCACTTATTAAAGATTTGACAAGTTTATTATTGGCAAAACACGTGAAACAAATACATAAAAAAGACAATCCAACAAAAACAAAAAATATTTAGTTATTTATCAATTACAGGAAGGCCGACTTCGCATCTCAAAATCAAAGGTCCGCGAGACCCAAAACGAAATAGAAAATCTCCACGCTATCGACACTGACGTTAGGATAAAATATCGCGAGATAATGGATTCATTAAAAAATGATTTGTTAGACAACGAGAAGGAATGCAAGAAGTTACAAGAACAAATCGAGTGGGTATCGAGACGACGCGCTGAGCTCAGGGATGAGGTAAGTTAAGGAAAAATTACATGCGATATATCGATTATGTAATGTACATTATTGTTACTATGTATTTCAAGATAACTTTTCTATAGTAAATGAAGTTATGTTATATAAAACAGTGTAAAATTATATATAATATTTATTTCTTTAAATAACTATGTATTAATAAAGAAAAAAAACCTTGGATTAACAATGATTGGTAATCCTGAAAGCCTTGAAAAAACAACGTGTATTCGTAAGTGGCAGACTAAGGCATTATTATACAATTTAAGAAAACAATAAAAGAAAGAAAGACGCAAGAAAATACTAGTCTATAATATATATATATATATATATATATATATATATATATATATATATATATATATATATATATATATTTAAGTTTTCAATTGTTATAATACCTTCCTTACAGGTGCGTCGAGGTCAACGTCTTTACGGCGAGGCGGCGACAGAGCTAGCCAGCAACCTATCAGAGCTTCAACGCGGTCGCTCAATAGAACACAAAGTGACAGACAAACCGTACAAACAAACCTCCCATCTCTCCCTCCGCCATAGAAAAGAACCTACTCTACCCAAAACTTCACCTATGACCTCATTGATTATGAAAACATCGCACATGTCTAACGACTCTTTCAGAGTTGCCGAACACTATTGATTTTAGATTGTATTATAATCTATTTTGCCAAAACTTTATTTTTGTACCATTTTGTATATTGATTTTGTCAAATATTTATCGTTTTATTAAATATGGTTTTTAAAAGATTTAACTTATTGAAATTGCAAGCTCTCCAAAAATAGCTTCTAAAAAGCATATTAGGTACCTACTTCTATTTTCATTTAGAATATATTTACATATTTACAGATATTCAATATATTGCTGTTTTTTTAAATAGCTATAATTTAGACTCTAATTAAAATATAATACGAAAAATAATAGAGCAATCAACAATAGCATTGAAACTAAATTGATACAAAAGCAAAAAAGTTAACGTGACATTAATATCCGTAACATATCCAAAGTGAGACAAAACCGCCGTCCCCCTTTATACCTCTCGTTAATTCAGAGGGTTAAAATCCCCGAAAAAGTGAGCACTTGCCTTGTTTACAAGGTTTTAGATTTTAATTTAGATTGGGGTCGCCGGAACTCGCGAAAATGACTTAACTGACGCCTATACTAGCTATAATAGTATACTCTCTGTGTCAAGAGTTTAGGTCGTGATACTTTTTGAATAAAGATTTAAGCGTCCCTTAAAATCGTATTCGTATGTGATCACCTAATACAATATCATCGAGTACAGGCCGAGGGTGCTTTGTGAATAATTTTTCGGCAATCTGCTCCAGTTTGCGTCAGATTTATAATTCTATAATTGTTAGGCGATGACGTTAATTGATAAACAGTGGACAATTTTTTTGTTTGGGTATAGGTAAGTGTAAATAAAAATGAAATTATCGTTGGTAAGCGCATTACTTGAGAACGGTTGCACCGATTTGGATAATTCTTATTTTAAAATGTTCGTAATATTTGGAAAATGGTCTTTGAAATGAAAAAACATGTAGCTGTACGTAGAGTTGGGAAATTCGGCGAAAACGAAATATAAAAATGCTTTTTCTATAGAAGTTTTGTATGAATTCTCAAAGATTACAAACAAATATATCTATATGGATTTCGTAAAGACAACGACTGTCAGGTCAGCTAGTTATTGATAAATTAAAAAAAAACCTATTTTTGATTTTAGTACAATCAGACTACTTTTCATATGGTCTATTACATTATCTTATTTACATAGGTACATATGTAATCCCAGTCTCAATTCTCTAGTACGTTTGAGCTCTTAGATGTATTAAGGAACAAAAGAGATACTTTCTTTGTGGTACTGTAAGCCTCTATATTTCACAAAAACGAGTTAAATTTTATGTATTGAGAGTATTAGATAACAATTATTTACTTATTTATATATAGTTTAATAATTATTAAATTTCATTAAATTACAACTTCTAGCGTGAATTATACTTACTTGAATATTTAATTATATTTAATCGATGCTCTACATAGAGCTTATAGATATAGAGACGTTAATAACAATAACCAAAGTCAAATAGGTTTTAATTAAGCCAAACATTAACCGCGGTGACATCTGTGCTTTTTATCGAGCTTTGTCTGTTTGTTTGTTTTCTTGCACATGTTCGGGGGCCGGTAATTGCATGAGCAAACACTCTCTGTCAATAGAACTGTCAAATTGATTACTAATGGGATATTTTCTACCCACTTGGGTTATTCAAGACTGGGATATGGAAATTTTTAGGGATAAGTATATTTTTTATTATCATATTTTTGACCGAATTTCAAGAAATAACAAAGTTCTATGTTTTTTTTGTATTTTAATATCTAGATTCTATTCTTAGGTATTTCTTCTAGGTAGGAAATCGAGTTCTTTTAATAATAATTTTACTAGTAAATACTAACAGTGTAATCAAATCTTAGAATTTTAATTTCCTAATTGTTGAATTATTTTAACCCTTTTATGCCTGAGTCAGATGATAATACAATTATTTAATACCTGTGAGATGATCTGGTGATGGGGTCGGGAGGTGGATTATAGGACTCTTGGATGATTTCGAATTTATTTTAGTTACTGTGTTTTAACTATAGAACTCATATAATAGCTTATTATATTACTTAAATTCGTCATAGGACTGAATTGAAATTTGATGTTTTCCTGACCGATTCCGGCCACGGCGACCAATCTGTTTAATTCAAATTGAGACTAGCCAACTGCGTAGGAGATATTATAGTGCACAAGTGTACGTGCTGACACAAGTGCACTCTCTATTCCTGTCACTCTCATACTCCGGTGGGACGACCACTCGACACGACCAGTGAGAGTTGACGCGCAGGACCGACGGCTTTACGTGCTCTCCGAGGCACGGAGGTGAAACACCGCCAACTTTCCAACTTCGGGCTGTTAGTGAGACTTACTATACAGAAAGACTCAATAACTAAACTTCGCCCGACCCGGGACTCGAACCCAGGACCTCCGGGTGTGCAGCCGTACGTGCTAGCCATTACACCACCGAGGCAGTTGCAATTTACAATTACACTGTTATTACGGTTGTAGGAATAGGTAAGTATTAAAGATATTCAAATTATTGATCGGTGCAGAAGTAATATTTAATAATTAGAATTTTGAATTTAGTAGGTACAATTTGAATAAACTGTATTCAAAAAATTCTGCTTTGAACTTTGAAGCTGTCGAAGGATATCTATATAATACATGAAAAATAAAATATCGGTTACATTGTCTAATATATAATGTTATGTGTAATAAATAATGTTTATTTACCATTAATTTTAAACAAGAATCACTTATCTCAGCAATCCAAGTAAAGGGGAAAATTAACAAGCCATAAAAATTCCGTGGGCACGTCGTGATCGACGTTAAACGAGCTTTTAACTGTTAAACGCACACCGCGCGGCCTACATTTTGTAAACTTTAACACGTAATTAATTAATCACGCTACTGTTATAAATGCTTAAGATTGTAGTTGTATATGTTTGTTACTCCTGCACTTTACACAAACTTGCACTAAAAATAGAATAATTCTATTTTTATTTAAATTAATACAATCGCACTTATACCAAAGCATGAAAAATAGTGTGTACAGCAATTACTTAGAGGTTACAACTTGAAATATATCCATATTCACGATATTTTTGCAAAAATCCTGCCACTTATATCACTTTGCACAAAATTATCTCCGTAACTATAGTAGATAGAAGAACGTGAGTTAGACCAAAAAAATCCTAATTTTTTTTCTGATTATTTCTATGTAAAAATCACAAAAAGGGTACAACTCGACTTAAATCACACAGGAGGCACAGAATTATTTTAGTACCTCTTTCTTTCATATTTTTTCAACTGTAATAATTTCTATTGATAAGCTAAAAGAGCATATTAACAGGCAAATTATTTAAAGTCTTATCTAAGTAATAAGTTACCAATTTTATGGTTTAAAAACAAGTTTAATAAGTAGTTAAAACGAATTCCATCAGTTTTGAAAACCGCAAATTTTCTTTAATTTTTTGCCCGAGATAGTACCGAAAGCAAATTTATTTTTGTGTAACACAGAATTGAAGAGCGCGGGGCAAGCTGTAAATAAAATAAAAATGTAAATGACGGCCCCCGCCCGCGCCAAATGTGCGGCCGGTTTCTGAATACAGATACACTCAAACTGTGAGACGAACTCTTAATGATTTGTTTTTTTTTAATTATTAACTTCTTTAAGGATTTTTTTTTTAGTAATTGTATTTACTTGATTGTAATAATTTAATATGATATAAATCAGTCGTCAGTCAGAAGACAGTCTTCCATGGAACTTATCTCCAAACCTACTAACTATACATAGTTTGGGATATAAATTATACGTAAAATTTAAAAAGTCCTTGAAAGATGTGAATATATATACCTGATACTACTATTCTTAGAAAACAAAGAAATTTCGTGAGATAGATTTTTATTTGAAAGTTCTCTTATTGTGCAGACACTACCACTATTATTGACTATTGAGCAAATTAAACTTACTGAAAATGGTAATCCAAAAATTAATGTCTTTATTTTATTTTTTTAACTCTACGCGGATCCCGGGGTTTTTTGTATAATTTATTTTTTAATTGAATATTGGTAAATAGTGTCCTTTTATTTTCCAACTATGCAGATATATAATAGAATCCATACTATTATAAATGTGAAAAAGTGTGTTTGTTTGTTTGTCCTTCTTTCACATCGAAACGGAGTGACGGATTGGCGTGATTTTTTGTGTAGAGATAGTTGGAGAGCTGGAGAGTGACATAGGCATATGTAATATGATATATAATGAATTCTCATATTAAAATTCTTTTAAATTTTTTTTTAACATAATATGATAAAGCCAAAGTGTAATATAAATTAAAACTGCAACATTTTTATTGAAAGCAATTTGCGCGAAATATCGCTTGCAATCTCGCTGGCAAATATAAAACCTGTATTAAACGCTTATATGGCATTCGTTACTTTGATTACCATATTACTATATAATAGAATAAACAGAATAAAAAAAAACAGGTTTTTCAGTGACTTCATTGAGGCACGTTTTGAACTATTTCAAATTTGATCCTATAATTTATCGAGCTATTAATAAGACGTCGACACACAACCATTATGCCTAAAGATGTGTTTCATTTATATATTTAAAATAGTTTTAAAATACTAGTCACAATCGACCATAATAATTTTTTTATTAACCTATACCCTCCAACGGGACTCCAATCCCCGACAGCTGGCACAACAAGTAGGCTTACTACAAACTGAGCCAAACGTGTCTTTAGTTAAAAAGACAAAATTACTGAACCTCTCATTGTAGGCAAAATGACTTCGACTAGACAGTACAGTCTGACTTCCTGAGGATATCCCGGCAAGGGGTCGTATTGTGGGCGATATAGATATCCTATATTATACTTTATATGAACTTTATCCCTACTAATATTATAAATTTTAAAGTCTGTCTGTGAAGCTCGGTCACCCAGGTACTTACTTTTATTGGCTAAAGAACGAAGACGCTTTCTATTTAGGTGTGATTTTTTTGTGCAAGTATAGATATATTATGTTTCGCGCTATATTGGCTTATTTAGAATTCATTTTCGTGATTCTTGCCAAACATAAAATATAGGCCAAAAATACAAATAAAAAAATCTATACATATAATAAAATTGTAACTATGTCGAATCTGTACATTAAATATTTTTTGGAAAATCTAATTGAAATAGACATTATTATCGATACAGAGTCCGAATCTATTGTTTTTAGAATTTTTGTCTACTTTTTACCACGAGAGATCATCTAATTCCCACGGGAAAACACGTAATAATACAATTCAAAAAAATATTTATGATCAGAATTACTTGAAAATTGGTATTAATGCTCTATAAATATAATAAATAGGTATTTTAGCATTTTTCGAAATTCATCCTATAAGGGGGTAAAATAGGGGATGAAAGCTTGTATGAAATTACCTTTTTAGATTTTTTTTGTAGTTTTAGCGGGTTCTGATAGTAGATAATAAATGTACAAACGTATATAAACGTGTACAATAATTATAAAATATAAAATTATTAAAAATAATTTACGAAACTTTGAGAAGCTGATAAATTTTTCCTCACTCGTAATAAGCGCATTAAGGGTAGAAAAAAATTTAAACTCGTCGCGTCCCGAAACTTTTCGCGTTTTCTTTTTACATTAAGAACAAAAAGGAAAAAATCGCCTACTTAGAAGGGTGGCACAACTTTTAATACTACTCTCTCGTAGAAAAAATAAAAACATCGTTAGGGGGCGAAAATAAGATATATTATTGCTTGGCCGTTTTTTTTTTTCGTTGGAAAAACAAGTTGGTAAGTTGTAATAAAAACACGCTGTATATGTGAGGCGCTTAGCGAATTTCAAACCTGATGGGGAGTAAGTCGCGGGGGAGTACTTTATGCTTGAACTGTTATTTCCATTGCACGCTTATTTACGTATGTACCTTTTTAGGTAAAACCTAAAGTGTTATAGCTAAAATTAATGTAAAATTATTAATGACTTTTGCTGCAGTCTCTTCTATTGTTATTGTTTGCGATTATAGTAACTTAATAATTTATCTCTTTTAGGATATTGAAAAGTATTATATAATACAAGGTTAATATTTTAATTGAAGTTTACTTCTCTGTCGCGTATATTTACGTATACTCATCAAAATTCCAGGTATATAGGGTAATAAAAATATTTTATTCGCGAAAAAGTTCCGTGACCGTGGATGCTGTAAAGCATTCGAAACGTCGGGAAACAAAAATGCAAATAAATCCGAGACAAAATCCGAAAAGATAGTTTTATTTAAAATGTCAAATATTCGCGTAAATCTAAGAAAGTTTCTATACACTAATATATATATATATATATATATATATATATATATATATATATATATATATGTTATTTGAAAATTTGTTACTTAATGATGCCCAAACCTAAATTCTCAATTTATTAATTACTACTGACTCACCCTCGCTTCGCTCAGGTTCGTCACTAGGTACCTACGTTTTAACGGTTAGTATGAAATATAAATCTTTATACGAAATCTTTATATGAGATACTATAATATGCATGTATTATACATATAAACCTTCCTCTTAAATCACTCTATCTATTGCTGAAAACTGCAGTAAAATCCGTTGGGAAATTTAAAAGATCTAAGGGAACAGACAGCGGAAGCGGCTTCATTTTATATTTACTATATAAAAATATGAAATTGAGTAAGACCTTCAAAAAAAAACACCTAAGATTGTAATGTTGAAAAAACTAATCGTATAGTAAATAAAATCATGGTCGGAGATATTACCTTTTTCAGCATTATTTACACGTATTGGTAATTTTGGCGCACAGATATAAAATAATTTAAATCGACTACAGCGACACCTATCGAACTCTAGTAGAACTACTAACTAGCACTAATAATAGCACCTTAGATCACTTGTTATACATATTTTATATCGCGCCACCTACCGTGCGTTGGTAGAACTATGCCAAAAAATCTTTACGAGCGTATACAGTGAATCTCAACGACAAAATCGCAAAGATAATAACATATTAAATGCGAAATTATGTAAATATGTCATTCTTTCACGTTAAAAAGGCTGGACCGATTTGGATGAAATTTAATACATAGATGACTACCAAGTAAGGTCAAGTCATTAGTATGTATTATAAAAATCTCAAATAATCTTAAATACACCAATTTTTAAATACTAATAAAAATATAGGAAGCAAAATTAAAATTGCTAAAATTCAGTTTAGGAATAAAACACCAACAAAATTCCATGATAACCTTTATTTCTACATAAATGTACCTAAGTACTAAAACATTAGTTAAAAAAAAATTACGTGTCGAATTGAGAACCTCATTTTTTTCGTCGGTTAAAAATAATAAACATTGAGAAACGTTTATTAAAGTTGTGCAGATATATTACATAAAGAGTCATCGCGAATAGAACATTTTAAATAAAAATTTTAAACTTAAAAAATATCTATTTGATATAGGAATAAGATGTTTACTTCTACATACGTGGCTATATACGTATTTTGTCAGAGACGTACATATATGAAATAACAATCAATTAAAAAATAAAATTTAACTTAATATGAAATTTATACATTATACTAACACAATAAACGTGAAAATAACGCAAAAACCGCCAAACTGATTTATTATAGGATAGATTTATATATGGGAACGGACATATTATGAGGTTACCCTTAACTATGCTTCACTTATCATGCGAAGTCGCAGTGAGTCGCGGAAACTACTCAGTTATAAATTTAACAATTATATCTATGTATATACAGTTAATCAATAGATTTATTAATTAATAGATTTACATAATAATTTTTTTATAAAAACGCGCTTACTCTTGACCTTCATATTAGCTCGTAGGTATAGAAAAGGTCTTTGTTTAATAAATTGAAAGTAATAATTTAAACACGTTTATTTGAATATTTAATAATCTTTAAGACATAATATCTTCAGTTTACATTCAAAATTTTTTTTACTATTAATAATTTGATTATAATTACATAAAAAATCCGAAAAGATAGTTTTATTTAAAATGTCCAATATTCGCGTAAATCAAACACAGTATTATTAAAATTCCCACACAAAATATGTGTAACTATTGATTCAACGGGCGATGGCTCTAGCTTACATACATTTATATAATTTAAACACTAAATAAGATATTTAACTTTCATATTTCAATTTGCTGTCTTCATCCATTGAAAAATCTGTTTCTAACACCACCTGTAATATAAAATACAATATTTAAAAAAAAAAACAAAAACGTTTTTTTTTAGCAGATTACGAATATAATCTATATCTATCAAAACTTTATTGAAATTTAGAAATGCCTTTTTCTTCACACTATACTTTACACATTCAATAGTAGTCTTCGTCTTTGCAATAGCAAAAACTGCATCAATAGAAATTACATAATTGTTAAATTTGTTTAAATAAAATTATTATTTGTTAAAATAAAAACTTCATCAAAAATTATTACTTAATATAACAAAAGTACATACAGACAACAACATTGTAATTTACACATAAACACTACATAAATACAATAGTGTCAACATACCCCTTGCATGCCGGCTACAGCACGATTAGTCTCTTTCTCTTCGCTATCGCCATCTTGCTCTTCCACAACTTGCATCTGTGCGTCTTGTTCTCCATCTGAAAAACAATTAACTGTAATTTAACAACGTAAAATTATTACTATTTACATAACTTTGATATTTTCAAGTGTGAATCATTTCCAACATGATTACCACTTGTCTTGCGACGAAGTAAAATATCGTGATGTCGACATTGGATCGAATTTTGTATTTGGATAACATTTCGCTTTATAACTCTACCTATATAGATGTCTGTTATGAAAAAACGCGATTTTTTACAAAACAAATACTTTTTTTTAAAACCTAATTAATAATTATATATTAGAGCCTTTTTTCATCTGCTCTCTCGCGGACAATGTCAAATAGCGCCATTTCTCGCAACTGTTTGTAGTACTTATGTCCTTTCCAGAATCCAAACTATCTTCTTACCAAATTTCATCTAAATCGCTTCAGTAGATCCAGAGATTACCCCCTACAACGTCACAAACTCACAAACTTTACCTGTTTATAATATTAGTATAGATAATGCATGTAAAATTGAATATAAAAACAATAAAACCATACCTTCCGACGAAGCTTGTATCAGTTGCAAGGTGCCATCCACGATCTGTCCAGATATGACGCCAGATAGATTCGTGACGTTCAACTTTTGCCTTATCTTCTTGGCCTCCTGCTCCAACTGCTGCTGGATGTAGACCTCTTTGTGGTGGACCTTGTTGTGGTATTTGAGATGGTGGGCCTTTGTGAATTTCTTATTGCATGGAGTACAACTGTAGAAATAATATATATATATATATATATATATATATATATATATATATATAATAATTAATATACAGGAGCAAATCGATAAATTAATAAAAACTTAATCGGTAACTTAATATTTTCGGTGTTATAGACACTTTTTTCCATGTCCTGTGCGTTTCTTCAACGATGTAAGAGTCATATGTATAATTTGTAAGATTTCATCGCTTTCTTCAATTTTAAGACGCAATATTTGTTCGAGAGATTTTATCCTTCCCATAAACCCTATCGATTAATTCAATAAAATAGTGAAGTGGCGGTGTCCTTTTTTGCATTTTTATTTGGTTCGATTCCCGGTTCAGGTAAGCATTTAAAAAAAATATGCAGTTATTATTATTTTCAAAAGTAAAGAAACGTTTCTTTTGAGTTGTTCCATCCTGTATATGTCAAAAAATTGGTTCAGTGGAAGCTAGACTCACACGCATGTGTAATGTAATTAAGTTATTTATATAGCAATTAAATAGGAGCCTTTATTAAAAAGCGGTTAGAGTCCGACTTCCACTTGGCCAAACAATATAAAATTTTATTGCACTATAATTACACAAAATTCCTCTCTCCATCTCCATCCTTTGCATAAATTTACCATATAAAACTAATACATATATAACTATACCAAATGAAATAATGCGAAGAACAATGTTTAAATGAATAAATGTCCACCAAAATAACACGTTCTGTAAAAAATAATCTATCATGGACTTTCTGCCGAAACGAAAAGGGCCTGTGAGACAGCTAATAACTAAAACCGAAAGCGGAACCGCAATGCAACCCAACTCAATAATTTATAACATTAATTTAATTATACATTTTATTTATGACTTACAAAATTGGCCTTATTTTTTAAAGAAAGTAAACGATCTGTATGGAAAAATTAAAAAAATAATAAAAAAACGCCATTATTACTTATGACTTTGACATTTATTTTGGCGGGTCCCGTCTATATTTATTTAGAGAGAGATTTATTTTCTAAGAAGAATACTTACGAATATTTCTTCTCGCCAGTGTGAGTCAACATGTGGTTAGCGAGCACGTACGAGTACGTAAACGCCTTGCCGCAGAGGGAGCACTGGTAGGGGCGAAGGCCCATGTGCAATCTGGAAATGTAAATCGAATATTAATATACATAATATGTCAATGACATTCATATTTATTTCTCTCCATTAAATTTCAATTCAATTTTGATTGTATTGTTAATGGCTTCAAAGCCAGTTGACAAAGACACGAAGGAGATTGGTCGATGAGTCGATAATGCTTTTTAATGTCACTCTTAAAATATATCGCGGTTTTTTTCAAAGGTAGTCAACTTTAACAGCGTTAAACAAAAATAAATTAATCATAACTTTTTTTCTTATAGTTAATTTCATCTTAAAAAACACGAACAATAATGAGAATCAGATATTCGAACAAACCTAATAAGTCATTACATACACCGAAACACTTGCGCAATTACAATTAGTCTGAATACTTACCCCACATATGTCGTCGACCACCCTCCCTCCATTCCATCCCCACCATTTCAGTTGGTATTATAATGTCTTCGTGACAAAATTCGGCCACGATAGTAAATTTCACTGAGACTAGCCAACTGCACGAGACATTATACTAGCAGGGACTCCCAAAGTGGTCGGTATCGGTTTTCCAGGTGTCGACATAAACGAAAACTGATTTTGGGGGTCGACGAAGTCTAATAATCGACTCCTATTAATGAACACAAGTTCTTATTTGAAACGTTCAAAGATACTGTATGAGTTGTGTTACGTGTACCAACTTGTTTTAAAGACTATTATTTTAGTAGGAAGTATCATTGTTGTACTTTTAAAAAACTAAGCCTATAAAGCTTGCACAAGTTCGTACATCTTGATCAAAATAGTTTGGGAATCCCTGGTGCATAATGTACGCTATCCCCATCACACTCACACTCCCATGGGGCGACATTTCGACACTCGTGGAGCGACATCAGGAGCATGTCAGACGCGACACGTACTCTACCTTTTTACAGAAGTGAAACACCATCAACTTAATCCATTCTGTTATTGAGACTTAACAGAAAAAACTCAATAACCAGAGCAGCTGTAAATACTAGCCACTATACACCACCAATGTAGTTACATGGTATTATAATATATAGATTATATGTATATATACCTCTCATGCTTCTGCCTCGTCCCATAGTCCGCAAAGCGTCTCTCGCACACTTGACATTTATACGGTTTCTCTCCAGTATGACGCAACATGTGACGCTTGAGGGCTTCCTTCATCACGCATGCGAAACCGCATACACTGATATACATTTTATATGTACAAATAGTACTTGATTTTTCATAGGATATTTTATGGACGTAATGTGCTTTGAAAGTTGTGAATATATTATATGTAAAATAAATTACAGTAGTAAGTAAAAATTAAATTTTTGTGGCGAAATAAAAGTGTAAATAAAGTGGATTTATGTATAGCTATTTAGCTAATACATTATGGACACTCCGTTTGAGTTAGATTTAGATTCGTTAAAAACTATCATATTTGGCAATTTGTTTCGGAAATTAAGTAAGAATCTAGCGAAATGAAACAACGAAGTTTAAGGAGCGAATTAAAAATCGAAAGGAAGTAAATAAAGAGAGCTACCTATACCCTACTTTAATAACACATTACTACCACATAACACTAACCTTTGAGGCAAGAGTCGAAACCGCACGTAAGTACCCAATATTTCACCCGACTGAGTTGCCCAAAAAAAACCTTCAAAATGGTGTAATTTTAAACAATTTTATATAAAACTCGCCTTTCGTGTTTCTGTCGACTGCCAAAGTCGCCGAAACGTCGATCGCACACCCGACATTTGTACGGACGGACACCGGTGTGACGCATCATGTGCCGACGCAACTCCATGTTTAGAACGCACGCGTAACCGCAGACACTACGCACATATAAATAAAATGGCTTAGAACATCGAATATTTTTCTATGGAGACTGACTTTTGAAATTGACATTAGCCGCCGCCATTTTTTTTTTAATATAGCAACGCACAATGACATTGGTATGTATGGTTATATGGCATTAAAATTAGTAAAAATATGAGCATTCTAGCGCTCTAGGATGTCAAATTTCCCAGATATTTTTTGGTAAAGATTGCTTATACTAGTACTATCTTCTTCTACCTACCCATTTCCCAATCACTTGGGGTCGGCGCAGTACATCTTCTGTACTGCTGATAGAATTTAGCAAAAGTTTTACGACCGGCCGCCTGTCTAACGTCAACCCTCCTTGGGAATGCTTTGGGAATGCTTGGGAATGCTTGCTTTTTTTTAAATATTTTTTTATACTATAACTCAAAGTTTTATTGTAATTTTCGTATATATTGTGATATAAATTATGATCACACAATAAATTTTGTTATGACGTTGTCATTTTTTTTTGCTTATACTAGTACTATGAGATTATAAATATAATTAAAGTATTTAAATGTACTTATTTCCTTTAAATATCTCACAGATGGAAGGAACACTTTAGGGCATTAAAATGCTAGTATTTTTTTAATTTATATATTCTATTCATATAAATTTTGTGCGCCACAAGTTTAGTAAAAAATAAAAATGGCGAGCGGTCTAACTAACTGCTTCATACAAATCGACATTTCGTAGTATTATTTTTACTTTATAAAGACAATAATGTATTTAGAAAAATAATCATGAATTAATTCTCCCACTTAAGAAAACTGAAATTATGTATATAAAACTGAGTGAGGGTGATTTAACAGATGTCGTGCGATTTCGATTGTTGCCTCTAAATGGGCGCAGGTGTCACGAATAAAATTAGAAAAATACATTTAAAATATTATATAGATTAGAAAAAAACAGATATGTTAAATCACCCGCACCCATGCTTCTAAACATCACGTTTTTCATCTCAAAAAATTATGCAAATTTAAAAATTAATATAACTCCCATTACATTTAAATTAATCAATATTTTTTTACTACAAAAAAAAATGTAAAAAAACCAACCTGCATACAAATGGTTTGATGCCCAAATGCCGGCGTATGTGTGCTTGTAAAGACGCATTCGACGTAAAAGACGCGCCGCACGTCTCACAAACGTGTCTATAAAGAAATATCAGTTTATTAAATGACAAATATATACATATATCAAATGAAATAAACTTTATTCCATGAGACTTATTACAAGTGCTTTTGAATCGTCAATTTAATGTAAGCGTCCGTGAGGAAGCTACCACCGGCTCGGACAGCAGTTTTGCTGAGAGCCGGCGCCCGGCGAGAAATTCAACAGTTACTCTTCACTATGTATACCTAGATGGGAAAAGGTATTTACATATTTGTTTTTTATTAGTCTGTTATTCCAGTACATCCGAGTATAGTTTCCATGGAATATTAGTGATATCTAGTTTAGGTCATTATATATATCACATATATTACATTTACAATAATCCATATACTATATAATATAATAATTTAGCAAAATCTTTACATGAAATATTCTTTTCAGAACAATGACTGTAACATATTGTGTACAGAATACAAAACCCAAAATAATAGTTATAGAAATTTTTTGTTTGTTTGTCTGTATGTATGTGTTCGTTTCACACAAAAGGTACTGAACTACTGAACCGATTCAAACTTTTTATGAAAAGATAACTTATTACTCGATTCGCCACCATCGATCTGCCAAGATAAGGTTTTTGGATATTCAACCTCCAAAAGTTAGTTAGTTATATTAAAAGTTAGTTAGTTATATTTAAATATTAACTTACGTCTTCTCGTACACATATTTCTTTCTTGGCTGTGTACGTTTTTTCCTTGGCTTTGGATTTAAGATGTGATCCGGTATCGGCTCTGAGAAGGCCATTATAGTTTCTTTTAGCAGCACATCTTCACTGTCTTCGTCTTTGGGTTTTAGAATATCTTCGGTTGTTTTCCGAGGCCTTCCACGTTTCCTTGGTTGGACTACCTATAAGGAAAATATTTTTTTCATGTTATTTATATACATACATTAAAGATTGGTTAATCTAAGAAGAAGTTTTTAACGTTCTGTCTCTTTTACAGTGTAATGACTTCGTTTAAATGTAAAGAACAGTTATATGAAGCTAAGGAAGAGTTATTTATTCTTATACATACACAATTTAAACTCAAATTTGAATTACAACATAAAGTACATCTAGAAAAAAAATAGATAAATTACCCGTAAAAACGGGAAATTTTAAAAGAAATAAAAAATTTATCTTTCTTATACAATTTTATATGACCTTAAAGATAGTACCAAATTTATTGAAATTGAAACAGGACATCGTCTGACGGGTCAGCTAATGCTAAACAAAATACTATTTATTCAATATAACATATTCACGGAATATATTACTTAATTCATGTCGGTGTAACAAAAGCTAATTCAGAAATCAATGAAACTACATATTATATAAGAAAAAAATATTTTAATTCTGAAAACAATATTTTTGTAATAATTAAAAAATACTCTCAATTGTAATATTAAAGATTTGGCAACACTATGTACAAAAACTCTATAGTGTAACAAAAAATATACCAATTAATATAGATTTCATATTATTATTTTAAAATGTACATATAATTTATTTCTAGAGATAAAAACTTTTATTTTAGTAATCTAATATTTACATCACTAGGAACTTTATGTTAAATAACTTCACTCTGTACACTAAAATCTGATAGTATCAAAACACGATAAAAATCAATAAAAGCCTTCGTTTTGTAGCGCTTATGAATCTTCTATATGCGTTATTGTGCTCAACATTCGACATAATTTTTTTCGACTTCTTAATTTTTTAAGTTATACTTCTTTTGGCTTTGGAAAAAAATATGAGAGTAAAATTTTTACTATGCGCGCGCACACCGACAGCCAAAAAGCGACATGATTAAGTTAGCTGCATTCCTTTTACAAACAGAGAGTTGTAACGTACGGGATGAAATTTTTAGCTATTTTTGCTCTGTTACGTCAAAGAAGTATAAATTCTTACGTGCGTACATAAGTACACACACACGTTTTTTTTTCTAAAACAACTTCACAATCTATGAGTCCACAAACTTGATGCCAGCTATGACTTTTTGAGACACTGTCTTTGTGCTCATATCTTTGGCTTAATTTAGAGTGTCGCAAACGTATAATAATAACTAAAAATTCACTTTCACTATAACATCAAATTCGTAGTACCGTTCGCCAATACCGATTTAAATCATTTATAGCATATCTAGGAGTTGCAATATGCGAACGGAATTAGAACTTAGAGGGCACCGAGCTTTTTATTTTAGTGGTGCGGCTAGGATGGACGGAACGCGTGCGAATTTAGATATTTCCTTCGTATTATTAAAACAAATACACATTTTGAAAATGTAAAATGTATACGTTATAGAAAACGTATAGTTTTGTTATTATTAAAAACCTGATGAACTTCCTTGAATTATTTACGCCGCACGAAGGGTTTATTTTGTTTTTTAGAGATTATTTTTGATTATTTTTTTTCTATCGAGGAAAGTACATGTAATCGTTCCTAAAGTGTACGATTTATAGAATAAATCCTTAAATATCGTACATATTATTTGCATAATTAAAGTTTTAGTAATAACAATACAGCAAGGGATCAAACGAACGCAATTATTTCGTAATTGACTCGGTGCCCCCCTTAAGGATTTAACTTTATTTTCTGCGCTGAAGACATTTTGTTGATATGTGGAAACATAAAGTGTCTCCTATGACAATCTGCTTATCTCTTTAATATTAAGATATAGCTAGTATTCGATACAATCCTCCAAAAGCCTCTGTATTTATCCACGCAGTCCGTGTCACTGTTATTTTTGTACCCAAAGGACATTCAATTGTAATTAGACTTCTTATATTTTGCATTATAAATTATGTGGGATTTCTACATCGTCTTCTAAACACATTATCTTTTTTTTAGGATCATCATTAAACCCTGGAGGAAACTAAATCTTACTAGACGGCACGTTTTCCATGTTAATTCTTAATTTGATGATTTCATCTCGTTTTCCACTTAGGCATATAATATGTATGTATATCAAAAGACGCTTTCTATTTTAATTGCTGGACTTTAAATGCATCCGTTTAAGTTTGTACTGTAACGTGCTACGAGGAATACCATAGAACTTAGACGCTTGTCTTTGCGAGATTCTGTAATTTTTTATATGATCTAAAGCTTTTTGTAGGCTCTCTTCAGTGTAACTAGATCCGTACTTACGAGTACCGGAAGACGAAATATTTTTTTTACTACGAGTTTTTATCATCTGAAACAAAAAAAAAACAAACCTTTACAAAGTAGAAATAACGAATTTCTTCTCTCTGCAATATCATATGTAAGTATGTACACGCGAAGGAGAAATTATTATTTCACTTAAAAAGGTTTGCTTTTTATTGTAGACGTGTACAATGTTAAGGGTGCACCGAGGCAATTACAAAATATCTAATTGCGTTCGTTTGATCCCTTGCTGTGTTGTTAATATTAAAATATTAATTATGCAATAAATATGTGGGATATTTAAGGATTTATTCAATAAATAGTACACTTTAGAAACACGATTACTTGTAGTTTCCTCGATAGAAAAAAAAATCCAAAATGATCTATAAAAAACAAAATAAACCAACCCTTAGTGCGGCGTAAAAAAATCAAGGAATTTTGATAATAACAAAACTATACGTTTTCTATATCGTATACACTTTACACTTTTTAAAAACGTGTATTTGTTTAAATAATACGAAGGAAATACCTAAATTCGCACGCGTCTCGTCCATTCTAGCAACCCCCCCCCCCTGTCCGCTGTTGTCCTACTAAAATAAAAAGCTCGGTGCCCTCTTAACAATACAGTCGACACTCGGATAATTTGAAACTCGTTATTTTAAATCTACAGATAATTTGAAATTTTTCCACCGGTCCCTTGAAAAACACTGAATAAATTTATTAAAATCAATATTAACTGGTCGCCTCGGTAATATGAAGTTGAATGAATTATATCTTGCCAGCCAACATTCCATAATTTGAAGTTTGGGCTCATCTACTCTCTCGTCAAATTATTGACGAGTTTTTCATGCACAGACCTATCGATTCACGATTGTTTACATGAATGAGATGTGAGTGAGTTCGCAGTCTAGTTTTCTTTCAAACGTTAAATTGGTTTCTGTTAATAACATATTCGAATAAAGAATTTATTTAAAAAATATGTTTACTGTTGACTTTTTTTAAAACCGCTCGACCGATTTTAAGTATCAAAATGATTTCAAGAAAGAACAAGTTTCCTTCCATAAGTAGTATAAGTGAAGTAATATAAGTGAAATAAATGCGTGTGATTCAAGCTCTGGACGTTGGACAATTAAAAAAAATGTCGCTAAATATTTTCGCATTTTACCATCGACTAATTGAGCTAGGCAAGGAGATCTCTTTCTACCCTACGCTTCTACGCCTTTAGAACCAACACAAGTGATGATTTCTTCTCAGATCTCACCACTATCGAAAATTGTTAGACAATAATACTCGGAAGTCGCTCACAGAAAATTATGGACTTCTTTTCAAAATGAACATTTGTGATTAATTGTACAAAGGTTTAAATTAATAAATCACGAATTTTGATCAAACTTTTGTTCATTTGTCTTTTTCCGCTACTGATGTCTATTACCAATAGACATCACTTAATTTTTAATAGTTACAGTTGCTAATTAATCATTTTAAAAAAAAAAAACAGCATTGTATTGAACAAAACAATTTCTTTTTATGCACAACATGTATATTATATAATATTTATTAAATGTTATATAATTAATACTATTTGTTAAGATTAGTTCCGCTGAGTTTCTTTAGCTAGTTCTTCTCAGCTGTGGGGCTTTTTCTTTCCGAACTGGTAGTAGACTCATGACTTTCAGTAAAAAATTGTAATAATTTAATGCTGAATAAAATATTTTCAATTTGAACTTGTGAGACGCCAAACTTTCTCACGAATAGTATTTATTGCAGTTTTTCACATCATCAGGCAGACACTATACTTACAGAATATGTAAAAAAATCCAATCATATGACATAATTAGTTCCGTTATAAGGGGGTGGAAATAAGGCCATATTGAAACCCTTCCTTAAATTTCAAATTAATTGAGCTTATATAGTAAAATTCTTAAAAAAAATTTTTTTCTTGTGCATGATAATGTAATCTTGTCACAATCAAATATTGTTAACAAACAAAAAAAAAAAGAAAAAATGAATATGCCCAAATGCTTTATTTTATAAATCAACAATAATAACTTTTATTCCTAAAAACATTTAAGACCTATACTAAACAGCCAACCAAGTGTCATAGTAATGTTTGATGTTTCTTTTGCATAAAATATTTAGACGCAAATAATGGGAAAAGACGTGAAATTGAATACATTGAAGTTCATATTAAAAATAAATTAAGCTCTTGTGTGAATGCAATGAGGGCAACCGTTTGAATTTGCAGCGAGAGGACGCTAGTGTAGAGTGACGTCTCTAGAAATGTGCAGTTTGCGAGCTTTTCATCGCCGATTTTCACTAATTATTTAAGATACTAGTAAAGATTGTGCCATTCCTGAATAATTATGGCAGACATGGTACGGTACAATAAATCTTATTCCTTTATAAGAAGAGTTACCAAAAAGTCAATATTTTATTTATTTGCGTATAATTCATTATTTAAAATCCTGATTGAACTGTTTTCGCCCTAACAATTATTATTATTATTATACATTTATTGACCTGCCGCACTAGCAAATGCCATTTCAACGACAATGATAGGACCTTAGTCGCCAGTGGCACCAACTGGTGCCACCAGAAATTATAGCACACATTCTACTATACTAAAGATAGTAGAAATAGAAAATCACTTTATGAGATCCCCACAGCATAATTTTTTGTAGTTTGGTCAATAATTATTACAATTAGCTTACTTATCTAACCTAAGTATAACATATAGGCTACTAACCTCTTGCTTAGATTCAACATCAGAATCGGGTTCATCCCCTCCTGGTATAAAGTCAGGATCATCACCCGTATCCAATTCTGTAATATTTCAAAGGTATTTCAAACTTTATAGAACTTTCAGAATATACTACTAATATAACATATATAATTATACAAAATACACTTATAAAATAATTTATAAGTGTAAATGTTTGTATGTGTGTTTGTGAAGGTGTGTGTATATTTGTTAGTCTAAAATGGCTGTCTAACTCTGTAATGAATGGCTGTAAGGATTTGGATTAAATTTATTACACAGACAGTTTATGATCTTTAATATGTATGTAGGCTACTTAAGCTTAAATTAAACACCTATAGTTATTTTATATACGAACAGTAGTGTTAATATTAAAGACTCTCCCTTACTTTTCTCAGACCTATACATGTGTGAATCACTTAATATAATGTATTAGTAATAAGTAAAATTAAATTAGAACCACTTGATATATTAGAATAGAAGTAACAAAAATCACCTCTATGTAAAAGTCATGTAAAACTAAATAAGTTAAAAGATATAATAAAAATAAAATAAAAAATAATGACTACTATATATTATTAGAGCAATACTTATAGGTGCAAAGTGCTATTTACTGGAACACCTTAAAGTACAAAAAATAAAATATAAAATAGCACAAGCTTCTAGCTTAATCGCCAGAATTGCCTAAGTGCAGAAAAAATTGTGCATTAGGAAGAAGGGTGCAAAACAAATATTTACAAATCATTAATTACAGAAAAACCTTTTAAAATTCAATTATCCAAAGAAATTAACCAATTATCTTGCCTGATTAAAAAATCTGGGATATATGTTCAGTTACTATGACATTAAAATAAACTTTCAGCTGAGTACTTTTAGATAAAACCCACCTTCTGTTTCAAACTGATCTTGTTCTTCATCATCGGGCTCTTGCTTCAAGTCTAAAGACCCTGATGCCAATAAAGTTGTCAATGCTTCTGGTTCTTTATTTTCAGACTTTGGTTTCTTACGTTGGTATGGTGACAAATCTACGATAATAGATTATAATCAGTTTATGTTTATTAAAATAACAAACATAATTTATAGCCTTCCTTAAAATGAATATTTTTATTTTTCTAAGTTTTTTTACTTATTATTATTTTACTAAGGTTAGATATATCCATACAGTTAAAAAAAGTGTTAATTGACTTTTTTATCACATATATTTTATTCAGTCATTTCAACATACTCATATAGCATAGATAAATCAATCTAAATGATAAACTCACCAATCTGTCCCTGTTCATTGGGATATTTTCTTGGCCGCCCTCTCTTTCTTCTTCCAGGAGCCTTTGTAACAACAGCACTATTTGGTGTTTTGATAAGTGTTCTCGTCCACTTAGCTTCTGGATCATGCTCCACCGGCAGTTCATATTGTAAGAGAAGACCATTCTCTTGTTTGATTGTAATTGTTTCAGTTTCATTACCTGGAAATGTATATAATTAAACAAAATGTGTAATAAATAAAATGTAAATTAAGATTACTAATTTTGTCTCCTTTAATTGCTATTATTAAATGTATATGTACCAATGGGTTGTGAAAATATTTAGTAAAGTACTATTGAAATTTCATAGTATAATAAAGAAATTGACAAAAAATGTTTGAATGATTGAATTCAAAATGATATACAAAATGTCCTATTTGTAATAGTATTATATTACTTTTTTATATACTTAATTCTTCAATAGGAAACTTATAGGATATCAATGAAGTTATGCGTGCGAGATTGTGTTGTTTACTGCGCACCGGTAATTAAGATAACTTTAATGTAAAATTACCTTCATCACTTTTATTGGCCGATACTGCAGCTGAAGTCTTCAAAAATTCATCAAGACATTCTCTTAGTGTTTCGTTGGAAGATAGACACTGTTGCTTGAACTGACACGCGTATGTTAAGCGATCCACACAATTCAAACATATTAGCGTCGGTAAAGAATCATTTTTGGTCACCTGAATTAAAAACAAATTATTGACAATATCTAATCTAATACTACTTCCGAAATTAAAGAATTTCTGGGATGTCAGCAAAAAATAACAAATTCACCACAAATAAAACAATATTATAGCAACATTAATGTAAGAAAAAATTATAGGGTGGCCATCGCAACCATTTGCAGTGGTAATTTTTCGTACCTCCACGCCGCAGCAATAGGTGTACTTGTCGCCAAGTTGTTCGTTATTTTCGTCCCAATCAAAAAGGGAAACCATGTCCCCTGTTTCCAAGCATACTCGACATGTTAATTGCCAATCCATTTTTAACACAAAACTGGCGCAGTTATTGAGGAAATACAATCATAGTTTAGCTAAATTATGCATTTATTGTAACCGGAAGTTGAATTATGTCAATTTACTATTGCCAACATGACAGCAATACCGGACCGCGTCGTTATCGTTCCGTTACACGAATCGCTTAATAGCTTTCAAATAAACAAGTTTTAATTTTAATGAAAATTAAAATTTTCAAAATTAATCCTAAATTTAATTATATTAAATAAGTAAATCCTAAAAACTAAATTATATTACTCAATTGTAGAACAATTATGATTTAGATTATGTCATATTTACCTACTTGTTGAGTCTTGGCTTGGCGCTAATCAATAATATGGAATTGATAACTTCCTACGTAAAATGAAACAGTTTTAATTTGCCAATCATCAGCGAACATGTCCGCCCCTCCCCCATCCATCTGAAAAACGTCAAATTATCATACAATACAAATTACAATAACAATAAACATCATGAAATTATATGAAAAGACTGTGTATCTGAAATAAAAAATAAAAAAATGGAATTATTCAGGTCTGAATTATACTATATATTTGTAAGAAATGAATCAAGTCTTTGGTGGAATCGACTTACTGGTGCATTTTCAGTCCGATCAGGTACGTGCTGTAAAAGGTTCTTCATGAAAATAAGGGCTTTTGAATGATAACAAATTAGAGATTTGTTTATTATATTTTATGTAATAAACCCTTTTTATTTATAGCATGGGATTTATCAGATATAGAAGACATAGAGTGTTTGGGCATTACAGAAGGTATAATAGGAAAAGTGGAGCATACGAACATTTACGAACCACGATTAATGATAATAAAAGAAAGTGTGCCTGTTGGCCAAATCTATTTTCACCATACTATATACAAAATCAAATCGATATGCTTTTTGAACATGGGTGCAACAAATCAGGAATTAGAGCTATGCCCTTGTACGAAACACGGGTCCTCAGCAACTATGGTTAACAAATGTGGTAATAAAAAAATGGGTGCAAGACTGTTTGAAAATTCTGCTTTCTTGAATAAAACAGTTGGGGCAGTTAAAAATGTTAGTAATACTATTAAAACAACTACACAACAAGCAGCCACTCAGGTAATTTTCTTTTATAAATGAAAAGGTCTATGCTCTTTTTTTTATCCATGTTACAGTACATGTTTCTTCCTTTCTATTTCTTTTATCATACTCAATACATGGCTGTAATATGTTAAAAGTTGTAAGTATCAAATTATATACTATTTTTTATACAGAGATTAACAAAAGAAAAAAATTAAGATATAAGTGACAATATATGATTGACATTGTTAAATAAAATATGTCTTACATTTTACAATTACATAATGCTTATTAATTTCATAGGTTAAACAAACTGTTAAAAAGCAAAGAGATCCCAAAGTAGCTGAACGATTTGAAAAGCGTTTAACTGATGAGCTACATAAGATATTTGATGATTCAGACAGTTTCTATTATTCAAGAACACTTGACATTACAAACAGCTTACAAAGACAATATGAGATTGAAAAAGTTTTAGAAACAGAGGAAGGAACAGGAAAACCCATTACTGATATAACAAGATGGTGGAAGTATGTGGATGATAGATTCTTCTGGAATAAACATATGCTCAAGGATGTTATTGCCCTTGAGGTAACTTCAATTACTTAATATCTAAAATATAAGCCAGCATAATTTACCTTGAGTTTCAGTAACTTTCATAATATTTTTTTTCTTGTATAAATCTTGGTATCTTTTTTAAATTAATTCTCTTAACATCTAATTTATACTTCTAATATTATCCAGAATTTAATTTAATAAATACAAGTCAATAAAAACGCTTTATATGTTATTCTTTTCAACAAATTATTATTTATAAATACACCCCACTTTTTTAATTTTATAATAGAGTCCACAATGTGACCAGTGGGTACTCCCAATTATACAAGGATATGTCCATCTGTCACAAATAGCAGTAGAACCTCCAGATGCGAACCCTTTGAACACCGAGTCACTATCCAATGTTAATAGCTGTGATGAGACTTTTACATTAGGTCTTATTTCTAGACGATCTAGATATCAAGCTGGGACTAGGTAAGTTAAATTTTATATATTTTTTCTAATAATTTTATTATATAACTTCATTAACTAAATATATTAAAGATAAGAAATTTCAAAATTTTCTAATTAACAATTGATATTTTTATAACTTACATTTTATTAAATATTCATTTGAACAATACTTATTCATTTCAAAATAATGAAAATTTTTTTAAATTAAAAAGTTTCAAAAAATAGTTTTGTTAAACAATTGTTTATAATTTTTTTATGTTTAAGACTGTATGTTTCTAACTAGCAGTGCATACACTGCCGAAGGTTGCAGGTTCGGTTTCTGCATAAAGCAAATATTTGTGTTGTATAGAAATAATGTCTCAATCATATAACATTATATGCTCTTTACCACCTACCTAAAATTATTTTAACAAATTAATGGTGGAAAGTGAAGGAGGAAATCAATAGTAATAAATAATAATGTTTTCCCCATTATTTTAAATGCGTAATTTTTCCTGTGTATGTTTGTTACTTACGGCCGGATCTATTTGGATGAAATTTTAATACATTAATAGATTGTGACTTAGAGAGAAGCAAGAATTTAATATACAATATTTTTAGATACAATCGCCGTGGTATCGAGTCAGGAGGTAAAGTTGCGAACTACGTGGAGACAGAACAAATTGTGTCCATTATATGTTCCGATAGCATTCACAGGGCGTCATTTGTTCAAGTAAGTATTTAATTAATGATGAAATTTTGTTTGTTGTTTGTTTTTGTTCTTTTGTAACTTTTCTAATAAACGTGATTATTTTTGAATGAAAAAGGTACGGTAACTTCAAAATTACTTTGAAAGTTTCCATCCTAAGAGGTATAATTCTCGTTTGCTAGCACAATTACCCACAAAAATCCGAATAGAATATCTTTTTTTTTAATGGGTCAAAAATTACAATAAATAACAAGTTTATTTTTTTCTTATACATATACCTATACAAATATTATTTATCTTTGCATAGTATAAAATGAAGTCGCTTCCGCAGTCTGTTCGCTTAGATCTTTTAAACTACTCAACGGATTTTAATGCAGTTTTCAGCAATAGATTCAAGAGGAAGGTTTATATGTATAATATATGCATATTATAGTACAGAGAAGCCGAGAAATTCAAAGGTTTGTATTTCATACCAACCGTTAAAACGTACCTAGGGACGAACCCGAGCGAAACGAGGATGAGTCGCTAGTGAAATATGTATATGTATACTTGTTAAAAATATATTAATTTAAAAAAAATAATCACACATCAAATAGGTATTATAGTATGACTGACCTACTTACTCATCACGCGTGAGTTAAATACATAATTAGCAGAATATCTCGTAGCCTTCAAATATAAATCTTTCAAATATTTCATTTACGCGAGCTAATTATTTACACGTTTGTAAATTTATTAAGGTTTCATATATGTTCCTAATATAGTAGTTTTCAAATGATGTGCCTCAATTTCAAATTTTATGTACATAATAGCGACTCACCCTCGCTCCGCTTGGGTTCGTTTTAACGGTTTTAACGGTTAGTATAGATTTCTCAGAGATGAGATTATTTTCCCGCAGTAAAAAGTATCCTATTTGTTGACCCGGATAACCAACATCGTACCAAATTTCATCACAATCTGTCCAGTGGTTTTCTCGTGATGCTTTCGCAGACAGAGACAAAAATTCTAAAAACTATAGATTCGGCCTCTGTATCGATAATAATGTCTATTTCAATACGGTTTTCCAAAAAATATTTAATGTGCAGATTTGGCTTAGTTACAATTTTATTATATGTACAGAAATAGTTATTGCAAGTGTACCTTAAACGATAGACATGCTATTGCGGATTTTTCTGTAGGACTTTTCAAGATCTACAATTTTCTAGTACATTGTTATGATTGTCTCTTAAGGTTAAAGTTAAGGCCTTAAGCAAGTGCTATGTTAAATTTTAAGGACGACTCGACTCAACCATTTATTATGTTTTCCCGTAGAAATGAAAGATTTTCCTGCAGTTAAAAGTATCCCTAATGGTGACCCGAGTAAATGAGTTATCAGTACATAAAATTAAAATCGGTTCAATACTTTTTGTGTGCATTACACAGATATACAGACAAAGAGACATACATACAAAAATTTTAATGTCTATTATTTTGGGGTGTATATTGTGTACACAATACGTAACAGTATTTTTTTAATACTTCAGTAGTACAGCTTTCGCTTTGTTACTATGTATTTTATTATATGTTTAGACAATAATAACATTTGTCATATAATTCGTTTTTCGTTAGAGACATTGAAATTAATAAAATTTCGTAACACTTTTAACTGTAGTGGATATTTTATTACATTGTCATAAAGAGTTTGTAAAATGCTTGTGATTTAAACGGCTTTTCAGAGCATGACATAATCTAATATTTTACTTAAAATTAAATAAAGTTTTAAGTTGTTGTATGTCGCAGGATATCATACGATTCGTCATTATACACGATGACAGCTGTTTGTAAACCCTTGTTATTATATAAAATGACGTAGGCAAATTATGAATCGTTGGATTGTAAAATATAGGGCTGTGTGTAATTAAAAGTTCTACACTTGGTGCGAGTTTTGCTACAAATATTATGTTTCCGACTGCATATTATATAATTTGTTTTTTAGTTACCTTGTTTTCCTTTTTTTTTGTTTGCTTTTTACGCAGTCGGTTCATTTTTATTTTGGTGATTCAATTGACCTTTATTTTGGGGCGACCATAGAATTATAATCCACTTTTTAAAAAAAATGGTTTATAATTAGTATAGAAGCATAAAAAAAAATTAAATTAATTTTGTTACATCTCTGTCTGAAGAGTTTCTGGAAGAAACCTCTTAAAGAAATACCTAAGTTATCCTTTGTCCACATTCTGTACCTTTATTTTGTGAAAGGTATATTTTATGGTACATAAATAAATAATGGAGGTACCTTACATTTAAATACGTACTCTTTTTTTGAAATCAGTCAAAATCTATACATATATGCGAAACCGTAGGCAGGAATATTTATAGAAATATAAAAGAAAAATCTAAAACATTGTAAAATGGCTAACTTTTTTTTGGCTAGTTCATCAAAATTGAAGTGCCTTTTGGCCTACATTCCAATCTCTTATATCAATGACCGTTTTTTTGTTAAAGGTTCGTGGATCGGTGCCAATATTCTGGAGTCAACCCGATTACAAGTTCCGACCACCGCCGAGACTTGATAGAAGTATGTATGCATTTTATACAATAGCTTTGTATCTTTGTCTTTCAGTATTAGCAAAAATTTATCATTTTGGTATACCTGTGTATGAAAAAGGTTTGGACACATGCGGAAATCGAATCTGTATACTGGAAATGTGTAAATTTACTGAGTTCCCTTTGCTAGAATTTCTGAGTAATTTTTAAGGCTGAAAAAAAGATTTTTTTATAAATGACTTATTTAGTTAGTAGGCAATAACTTAAGACAATAAAAATATAAAATAAAACCACTTTAATCGTACTTATATTAAAACATCTATCTGAACAATGACGTCACCACACACTTGCTTATCTTTATGTAATTTCTAATGTAACTCGTATATAATATACATATATTTAACGTGTCGGATGTTCCGGCAATTTTGTTAAAAACTACTATGATTAGTGTTTATATATTGAATTTTATATTCTTACAGTGTAATTCAGATCGAAAATAAATATCTTAATTGACAACATTTCATTTTTTCAACATCCCTATGTTATAATTTTAATTAAAACTAGATCAAAAATGAGTCGACCCATATCTTTTCTTTTTTCGAAATGATGCCGTTTTCATATAAAATTTCCACTTTGAAACTCGTCTTATTCTAAAAAGACGTAAGCGACAAATGACGTCATTAATTAGGTTGAATAGCGATATTGCCTTTGCCTTTCTCTCATCCGTCAAAAAAAATATACTAATGTCATTTTGGCATTACAAAATCTTTCCTTGTCAGTTGTCTGTGTACAAAAGTTTCAAAGCTTAAACGTTTTGTTTTTTATTGTGATTGTCATATTTTGAGAAAGAATTCAAAATTCAAACGTCAATTATTCAGAAATGACACATATGACATATGACACTGACGTTGGACGAATAATTTCATCTTAATCTTTAGTAGGCAAAGGCAATCATCTCATTCAACCTTATTTGTGACGTCACCACAATATTTTCAGATTTTTTTTTTCTCCAAAACCACGCATTAAAAAAATCCCAAAAAAATATATTTGTACTCAAAATAGGAAAATAAAGAAACAGTATTTTTATTTTAGGGTCTTCATATTTCTGAAATGTTGTCAATTATAAACAACTCATGGTTTATGTTCTAAATTCAAGACAAAAAAACGATATTTTAAAAAAGTACCCATATTTCTTTTTTTATTAACACATTTTTCGTTCGTATTATCGTTTAAGCTTACACATCACACGTACAATTCTAACAGTAGCACATCATACCTGTGATTTGTAATGCTTTCTTTAATACTGTACACATCGACAGTGCCAGCAAATATATAGGTACATAAATATATATAATTATTTATCCGCGTTAACTACACAGTCTAATGATTTAAATTTATCTTTATTTCGGAACACTTTTCAATACAATTGAGAAAAATCAAACAATTATAAAGTAAATAAAATAAAGACAAAAGATAAATTAAATAAATAAAACTATCTTTTCGGTTTTTTCCCCGAATTTATTATGATGGTTACAATGGTGGAAATGGTGCAAGTGGAATGGTTTACAGCAATCATGGTCATCATGTAAATTCGAAAAGATAGTTTTATTTATAATGTGAAATATTCGCGTAAATCTCAGAAAGTATTAGACAAAAGTTACATAAAAACCACAAAAACTGAAAATGAAATTAAACATTTAAACCACAACATGACATCCAAAATCCTTAAATAACAATAAATTATATATATATATATATATATATATATATATATTTATATATATAATTTATTGATATGAATAGTTATTAGCCAGCGTTAGCCATATAATTTCTTTTTTTCGTTAATAATATTGACAAATATTGACATCAATATTTATACGATTCTAACGTCACTCAATTGCCACCAATGTTTTGCCTTCCCGGAACCTCTCCACTAACACTTAAACTTTATGTTATAGTATTAAAGTTCAAATTGACTTTTAAGTATTATTACGAATCTTTTGTATAGGAGTATAGAAAAGTGTTGTTTAGACTTTTTCAGGGAATTTTTTAAATTTTTCTCATCGTAAGAACCATCCTCGTACTTTAAGGAATATTCTCTCGAGATTTACGCTTACCAACACATTCAGCGATTCATTTTTATATAATAGATATGGAGAGGCCCAAAATCTTAAAATTAGAGAGTCGTAGCTGCCTGCTATATCTATAGTTTTAAATAAATATGTACTTACTTTGTTCCAATGTCCGACATAGGGACATACATACATGTACATTATACACAGAACACTATCAAATATCGTCATAATTGCCCCTATAGTTTCCATTTCTTTACAGAAACTAGTGCTTATCTCATGAATTACTAATATTTTCTCCCAATAGCCGAAGAAGAATCTCAAGAAGCGTTCAAGAAGCATTTTGAAGAAGAACTCACAATGTACAAGCAAGTGTGTATAGTGAACCTTGTAGAGCAACAAGGCAGGGAGCGGATTATATGGGAAGCGTACAGTAATCATGTATTGAAATATAACAGTCCTGATATAATATACGCTACGTTTGATTTCCATGAATATTGGTAAGTGTTTTTTGGCTAACTACTGAATACGTCTTCTACTTAATATTTAAAATATTAAGTTAGTTTATTTATCTACCTAAATTTAAATGTATAATAATATTTATTATTTAATATAGTTTCTAAATAGAACAAAAATGATGTTTCTAGTAGAATCATAAATTCATGCCAAAATTTCATTGTTTTGAACTATTTCGCTCATTTTTGTCAATATTATTAGTGACAGGCTTAAAGAGTAACTTAGATTTTTTTCTATTTGTGACTTATAAGAAATTGAACTCATATTCATGATACCCATTTCGCAAATTTGATCACAGTCTTATATGTCTTTGCTTATACAGACTATGTGTATTATTTATATTTAGTCGTGGCATGCATTATGAAAACGTCAGCATATTGATAAACGCGATAGCCGATGTGATTGGCGAGATGAGATTCTGTTGGAGGGACGATCGAGGACTTATATGCACTCAGAATGGCGTTTTTAGAGTCAACTGTATTGATTGTTTGGACCGCACTAATGTTGTTCAGGTTAGTATTTTGTTGATTCTTTACTATATACTAGGGTTCGATGTTCCTAGGTTTTAAATGGATAAAATATTTATTGTACCTTTGGAGATAGATATATACTGTTGCGGACTTGCGAACTTTTCTGTAGACGTTTTTAAGACGTACAATTTTCTAGTACATTGTTTTGATGTATCTCTTAGGGTTTAGTCAGCGTTAGCCATGTACATTTTTAAGGACGACTCGACACAATCATTTATTGAGTTTTCCCGTGGGAATCAATTAAGTACAAGATGAATGCATGAAAAAAAAGTGCGTGTGTGTGCAATTCACACATGGTAGAAGTGACACTTCAGAAAAGTAACCTACGAGAGAATGAGATGAATATTATCAGGAGTAGGATAATTGTACATTTTATTTGACATAAATATTCATTATATATTCAGTAATTAATTTTATTATTTTTACTTCCTGTGTAATGTATTCTATCTCAAATAATTAAATAAGGCATATTAGGTATATTACAATCATATATTTATAGAATATCATATACGGAAAGAATATAATATTATATATTTGTCAGACAATAACAATGGTTAACATGGCAACATGGCAGAATACATTGCCATCTTATTTGTTATTATAATATCATTCTCTCGCCAGCATAACCAGCTATCATCATATGAAATTTGATTAAAACCTGTCCAGTGGTTTTTTTCGTGATGCGTTCCCAGACAGACAGACAAAAATTCTAAAAACTATTAATTCGGCCTCAGTATCAATAATAATGACTATTTCGATAATATTTTCCAAAAAATATTTATTGTACAGTTTCGACTTAGTTAGAATTTTATTATATTTATAGATGGCTTAATCCTATATGTGTTTGTCTCTTTTTAATGTCGCATTTCCGAGTTTCAAATCACAACGATTCTAAAGAAGTTTCACATCAAAAAAATGTAATGAAAATGAAAAAAATGTATGTGTGTAAAATATAACACAAATATAAAATGTTTTAATTAAGAACGTGGAAACGTAGTATTAAAATTGCTATTTTAAAAAAAACTATGGCTAAAAATTATAAGAACAAACGTAATTTCTGAGATTTAAGACACAATATGAACACCGCTTCTTATTAATGATTATTTCTTTAATTTTATATTCGATACTAAGCACTAACTTTCGATTTACTTCTATTTGAATTAACTCGCATATTTGTTTCAAAAGTGACAATATTCATTGTCTCTCATATAAAGAAAATTAATTGAAATAAGTCTAGTTTTTTAGTCTGTTATTATAGAAATAGGCAAGTAAACTGTAGTTGCCTTTTTTTGCAATAAGTACATAAATTATCTCTTATATTAAATTTATTTATCGTTTTCATTGCATATATACTTAAAGAAACCGTATAGAACAATAAAAGTGAAATCTAACGTGCCTGTTAAACTTTTAAGGATAAAATTAAGGAAATAACAAATATACTTGATTATATTTGAATAATAAAATATATTCTAGGATGGACGGAACGCGTGCGAATTTAGGTGTTTCGTTCGTATTATTAAAACAAATACACATTTAGAAAATGTAAAATGTATACGTTATAGAAAACGTATACTTTTGTTATTATTAAAAAACTGATGAACTTCCTTGGATTACTTACACCGCACTAAGGGTTTATTTTGTTTTTTAGAGATCATTAATCAATTAATCGTGTTTCTGATGTGTACGATTTACAGAACAAATTTTTGAATATCCTGTATATTATTTACATCATTAAAGTTTTAGTAATGACTAATAACAATACAGAAAGAGATCAAATGGACGCAATTATTTTGTAATTCGGTCGCCCTTAATGATTTTAATGATTGATGATTTCTTACAAATTGTTTCGTCATCACAGACAGCGATAGCAAAGTACGTGCTGGAACTGCAACTGTGCAGGCTGGGGCTGGGCACGCCCGGGTGCGGGCTGCCGCCCTCGCTGCGGCAGGCCTTCCTCACCATGTGGGCGGACAGCGGGGACCTGGTCTCCAGGCAGTACGCCGGGACTAAAGCTTTGAAGGTATGTGCTCGTAAATAAAATGTGTACCAATTGGAAAAATGCATGATTGTTTTTTTGTACAATAGCTTACATCGTTATATAATTGTAAAAAAAAATATCCAGCCCCAAAAAACTAAAATTTTGTATAAAAAATTGTTTTAAAAATATCATACCGTTACGGCTGCTTTAAACGCTCGCTATTTCGCGCTCTTGACGTGACGTCACAGTATGATGTACACAGAGAAATGACGACTCAATTTGTAGCGATAAAACATTCGGTCTGACCAATGGCATTGCGTTGCACCTGCAAAAGGTCTGTTTTTACAGTTTTAATTATTTTCTTAATCAAAAAGTGCGGGTTGGCGGACTTCACATGTCTTTCGAAAACTTATTAGGTTATCTTAGATATGCAAATTTCCTCACGACGTTTTCCTTCACCGTAAGACGAGTGGTAATCTTCTTGAAAATGGTTCGCACATGAAAATATCAGAGGTACGAGACCCGGGATTTGAACCCGCTTCACTCGATTACCCAAGCGAGCGCGTTACCACTGGGCTACCGAGGCCTTTATACAAAAATATAGTTCAACGTTATAAGGAAAATAAATCATTGTCCAATAAACTGTAACATGCTAAGATGAATCGCCATTTTTATTCAAATTTGAAATGTCTAGTCATGGGAAAATAAAAAAATATTGATAAATTAAAAATAAAAAAAAATTCTTCAAATAAGAATATTTTTTTAATAAGTAGGGACTAATTAATCGGACTAAATGAAATATAATCCAAATGTCCGCTAACAGTATTCTTATCCGTTTTTTGCAGGGTGATTATACACGGACCGGAGAGAGAAAACTAACAGGAATGATGAAAGATGGCGTGGCCTCTGCTAATAGGTGAACATGCAATATTATAAACTATAGCAATACATAATTACTAATTAGATATTATGGGTTTCTGTCTGTCAGTATGCGCGTTTCTTTTGCAAGATTGAACCTACAACCTTCCGACGAGGTAAAACATGTTGGTTCCATATAATAAAAATATATCGCAATTTTTTGCGAAAACAAGGTGTTCGAAACCATAAACAAACAGTTGTTATTTTTGGATATTTAAATTAATTGTTTGATCTTAAATTAAAATGTGTAAATTAAAACTATTTACATTTATCTGGATTTGACATCTATCGGCACTCTGAGTGTTAGCGTTAACACGTCACGTGACCATGTCAATGACGACTAAAATGAATTTACTCCGCATCCAAACCTCACTATAGAAGTTTTCACTTCAAAAAAACTCCGGAATTAGTCAATGCGACACAATTTTCGCTGCAGATTCCTCATTCGTCATTTTAACGACGCCATAACTCAATGCGCCATAGACATCGCTCTCGGTCAACCTGTCAATATGGCGACCATAAACGAAATAGATAATCTGTGGAGAGATATAAAAACTGCGTCGTTAATGGTGATAGAAAATATGGATACAGAAAGGCCGAAATTAGAATTAATGCCGTCTTATTTTGGACACCATTTGACAAATGAAATGGCATCGGCGGAAATAGCATACGGATTGGGGAGGTCAGTTGTTTGTTGAAAAATACATATCTTGCTAATACTTCTTTGAAGCCACCTATATCCTATATTATTTAGCTACTTAATACGATTGGCTATTCTTCAAAGATTTAAATTTATTACCAAAGCAAATAATTTATATGATCAAAATGATCCAAAAGTCAAACAAAATTGAACCTTAAAAACTATACTTAAATACTATATATATATTGATTTGCTCTGATCTTTATTAATCTACTAATAAAGAAGCTTTTACTTAAATTATATTTACTTTAAAGTTTCCGACGACGAGCTTAGTTTCCCTTTTTTTTGTATTAATCTTGACCTCCTCACCGTTTTATCATAGATTACTATTAATTATAAATATTTCCTTACCTTATATACTTTAACAAAGAAAATTCTAATGCTTTGCTTTTTTGTTTTTGAATTCTTAACACACTAATGCAATATCGCAAAACAAAATTTTTTTTTTTTTTGAAAATTTAGTATACTTCTTCAATTTTCTTTTGTTCATACATTTTATATGGAGTTTCACAGTGTAACTTTTTAGTTTACTTAGTGTGTACTTTTTAGTTTACTTACTTTTCCTATTTTTCACTAGTATGTGAATATGTTTATAGAATACTGTATCTAAAAAACTGTCTCAGAATACATCGAGTTAGTGAATTGTATGGTCAATATAAGTAATAATAATAAATATTTGCCTTATATGGGATTCGAATACCTGATCTCCGTTAAAGCATTGACAATCAAAGATGGAACCTGCTACTGTACTAATATAGACTAAATTGAAATAAATACTCCAGCTCTACTTATTTTTTAATTTTACAACAATTGAAACCAATAAACATTGGTTTGTACTCCTTTAACTCCATAATAGAGCATCGCAAGAATGATGTTAGCACAGAAACAGTTAACGGGCCAGAGAATGCCATAGCGTAATGACGCCTTTCTTACCGATTATAGCTACGGCGGTAAATCTCATTAAGACTAGCCAATTGCTTAGGAGATGTGCACTCTTCAATCCTTTCACTCTCATAGTCTAGTGAGACGACAATTCGATACTCGCGGTGCGATCTGAAATCAGACCTAGGTACAGGTATGTCTCTCCAATGCCAACTTTTTAGCTGTTATGAGCTCCGTGAACCAAAAATCTAAATTGTTTAATTATATCTTAACATATATATCCAAGAACTATAATTGACTTGTCCCGGATCACGAACCCAGGACCTTAATAAGTGTTAGCCATTAGACCAACGAGGCAAATAGGAAGTTGGTAAGTATTGCCATAAGGCCATTTACTCCAATATATATAAATTGATTACCCTGGGATACTGCATGGCAGTATAAAAATCCATCTTAGTAGGCGATCGCTCATAGATTTGACAAGGTGGTCAAAATATAGAGGTTTTCCATACTAAAGGCGGGTTGCTGAACTAAAGAGACAAGCGTGATATTTCAAAAAGCCATTAAAAGTTCTGGTATTTATCGATAGATGGAAAAACTAAAAAGTATCACCGCTGTGCCGGTCGGAGTGGGGGGTGTCAGGTTTTTTTCGTTACGGAATTTCTGGATTCGGTCCCCACGCTCAAGGCCCGCGATAGAAGCTATGCAATAGCTTTCTCAGAGTTACAAACTATCTTATCAAATTTCATCCAAATCGGTCTAGTAGTTTCGGAGCTTATTCGGTACAAACAAACAAGGAAAAAATCTTTCCTCTTTATAATATTAGTATAGATAATATGTATTGTTAGAAAAACAATTGTTTCAGATATTACCTATCAACTTTCAAGGACGCTCTCCGCCAAGTTGCCATAGACGTGATGACGGGTGAATCTAGGTCCATCCCCGAACAACTAATCGTACCGGACTGCACTAAATGTACTTCAGTCAAGGTGCTTATGGTGCAAGTGCGTGCATGTTAAAGCTTTTTTCTTTTTCATTATGTAGTTAAAAAAGCTTTCTTTTTTTTTGAGTTGTAGCTATTTAGTATTTAGTAGTAGTACACGTATGTCTTGCGACTTTATACAAATCATAAATATATTTTATTAATATATAAGCAACGTTTTTGGCAAAATTTAATACATCATAAAATTCATATTCGTAGTATATGTATATCATTAATATATCAAAACACATATACACATTTCCTAACAAATATCTCTTCCAAAAGTAAGTAACTAAGTCAAACCAATGAATTAAATTCAAAAATCCAAAATTATAACTGTCTAAATACAAATTCGACCTTACGCACCATATAAGGCAGTTTTTAAACGAAACAACGTGTTTCAACAATTTTAAATTTGTCATCCGACATGCAATGAATAAAAGAGATTTGAAAAAAGCGCATAAGTTCTTATAGTGCGCTGCTTTTTGAGGACACTATTGAGCCTCTAATTGTGTATCTTGTGTATATATCAATGATATATGTATTGAATTTCTTCCAAATCCGTTCATACCAACTAGCTTTCGCAATTGGAAGTGGTTATGAAAAATAGATCCAACCACAAAAACTTACTTTTGAGAAAATAAGAGTTTTAGTAAAATTGGTATATCAAAATAACAAGACCGTAGTTTTTTTTTAATTCTTCTTAAATATTGGGTATTTTATCTACTTTCTATATATAAGTTGATATGTAGGTGCCATTTGTGACAGTAACGCAAAAAACAGTTTTTGTGGGCTGAATCCATTTTGCATAACTACGTCCCATTATAATGTCAGAGTGATTATAGTATGACAGTAGTACATTTTGAATTTGTCTCTGATGTCAGTGATGAGATTTCTATGTACTACTCGAGAACTACCCTCTGTTCGTCCAAAGAAAAATTCTTTTTTTGCGCCAGAAACAGAAAACGTATACAGAATAGCCCACCAGAGTTTTATCACAATCGGATCAATGGTATAGGAACGCATATAGGACAAATAGTTAAAATATTTTAAAATAGTGTTTTTTTATGTTAATGTTTTGAAATAAATTATTTCATTTATTTCTTTTCGCATGCATAAATTTTTATGCTAACTTCTGTGTTTTATTTAGTAGTAAGTATTGTTTTATATGTTGGCAACAATGTAAATGGTTAGACTGAAAAATGACTTTACTTTCTATATCATACATTAATTTTACATATTTATTTATATTGTGACAAATAGGTTTTGCGGTAGAAGGATATTTATATTTAAAAACAAAATATTATAAAAATAACGCATTTTATTGTTTTGATTTTTTTTGTTTTCCTTCTTTTATGAAGCAACGGAGCAAAGAATTGGCATGTTTTTGCATAAAGATAGGTATATAGTCTATGAATGCGAGTGAGTCATAAGCTACCTTATATTCGAGAAAGTAAGGTACATTTTTAAATAATACAAAAAAACACTGAGTTTAGAAGATACTTTAAAAGAATGATAAATAAAATTAAAAAGGCCTTGGTACTTTCAAAAATCTTTTAAATTTTAGCACATTCATCACAATTATCATCATTCCTTATAACATACCCGAGCCATTTCCAACTAAAAAACAGGGAAGACATATAATACTATATAATACAAATTATTATATATTAACCTAAAGACTAATGTCTATCTAAGTATATTTTAACATCCAAGTTTTGCGCTGTTCACTAATATTATTTATAGTATAATCTAGTTTTGGCCTTATTGTAACTCTTCCTTGTATACAATATGCAATCTTTATTAATTCTGTAAAGCTGTTTGGTTACTGAATAAATAATTAAAGTAGAATATTTAATACTTTCTTAGATGTACGCGACGTCATTTTTGTAAAATAGTAGGTAGGCAATATCTGTAACAAGTATAAAACGCCTTCGAGACGTCTATAACCTTAGTCTCCTGTGACCATAATTGCTGTAAAGCATTTGAAACGTCGGGAACCAAAAATCAAATTAAATCCGCGAAATAATCCGAAAAAATAGTTTTAGTAAAAATATTTAAGTTTTATTCAACGTTGTATTTCCAGGATCAATCCGCTCCTGACACGGCGGCCATGGCGCAACACGTTAAGTCGCTAATCGACGACTGCAAGAAGTTGTTGGTCGATACAGAACCGGTTTTGGGGTCTTGGGGACTTATTGATGCTGATCCACAGTGAGTTTAGCTTAGAATGTACATAGTATCAGGAGCGGACCGTGAATCCGTCGATATTGTTTGATTTTCAATAGGTTTTTTAATTTATAAATTCACAATATATATATATATATATATATATATATATATATATATATATATATATATATATATATAACCGACTGGTATTGTAAATTTGAAAGTGTATTTTTTATCAATTACTATAATAATTTCATAACATTATAAACGCTATGTACACTTGTTATTGATATGCATGTCTGATTCTTTTTTTTTCACTTTAATTATTGTATTGAATTGTTTAACATGTGTATTGTAAGTGTGCTTAATAATAAATAAATAAATAAAGTGCGTCTGTGTCTGTGTGTATCTGAGTGTGCCTGTGTGTATCTGTTTGTGCCCGAGTGTACCTGTGTGTGCCAGTTTGTTCTTCAGTGTACCGTGTACGTTTGTTTGTGCTTTAGTGCACCTGTGTATGCCTGGGCGTGTCTATGAGAATGTGTGTGTATATGTATGGCTGAGCTATTGTCAGGCACCTAGTATAAAAATCTTTCTTACAATTTCCAGCACGGGTGACCCACAAGAAACGGAAATGGATAGTGTGCTAGTACTCACTAGCGAAGCGTACTACGTAACAGACTACGACGAGACGTCCGACCGCCTGCTGTCGGTGCAACGAGTACCGCTTACCGATGTCACTTCTGTGGAATTAGGCACCCTGGATACAAGTGCTACGGTAAATTTTTTAGAATTGTTTATTATATTTCAGTCCTTAAAACTTTTGATTGATGTGACTGATGGAACTGGGCACTGTAAATCCTAGTCCTCAGCTATTTTGTTTAAATACATATATGGTTTTATACTTGATGTCCCTACTTAATGTCCCTGAGTGAGTTCACTTCTGTGAAATTGGGCACTGGTCTCTACAGTTACGGTTTTTATTATTAGTTTCTTTTGTAATTATTAGTTTTGAATATAATGAAGTCTTTACGTTATACGGACTTTTATTCACTTCTCAGTTACATTTATATTATATGCACCATACCCCACTCATATTTTTAATTTTTAATGGTTTTCTTATAGCATATTTTTTAAGAATGGTCATAAAATATCTAGCTAACATATTTCAACAACATAGCTCCAACAGTCTTCGAGTTAAATAGTGTATGGACAGGTTGATGTCAATTATTATAAGAGTTCCGTTTTTGCTCTATGGCTACTGAACCCTTCAAAACAACCACTAACAAGTTTATATGTTTGTATACGTGCATTCGTGCGTGTACGTTTGTATATGTGTTACTCCCGCTAAAATGGCTGTACAGATTTTTATGAAACTAGGAGAACTCGCGGTTTTGATTGCGCTAAACTACAAAAAAAACTCTGGCTGCAAAAGGTATAGTTTCTTAGCTTAAAACACTTAAACATATTTTAAACATAAGTTTTACATTATTGTATGGAAGTCTGCCCGATTTGTTGACATTTATGATCACTGCTCCGCTCCTTTGGGTTGTAGCATGATGATATATAGCCTATAGCCTTCCATAATACACGGGCTATCTAATGCAAAAAGAATTTTTCAAATCGGATTAGTAGTTCCTGAGATTAGCGCGTTCAAACAAACAAACTCTGCCACTTTTATAATATTAGTATAGATTATACCCTAGAATAATGCTGATAGTAATAATATAAAGGGACATTTCAGATTTTCAGCGTGGGACGTAAAAGTAACACAGAGCCTGTACACTGTATAAGAATAAACTACACGTACAATAACGAGGCCGGCTACTTCCATATGTTCCGGTCCACTTCACTGCGTTTCTTTAACAACATGGCGGTTGTTATAAATACTAAGGATGAGATGATTGGTAAGTTTCTTTTATATTTTTTAGATTTTAATTTTGTAATAGATTTAAAATATATTTTTTATTCAGTTTATTTTAGTATTTTTAGTTTTTATTTCTTTTTTCTAGTACTCGTTCTTACTCTATATTATGTATAAACATTTTAAACAGCTTGGTTACTCAAAAAATCTTAGTCATTTTTTTACGCTCTAGTTTTTGTTATATATAATACATATATCCCATCATTCATCACAGGAATTCATCATCTACAAAAATAAAAACATAATGCAAAATTGTTCTTAGACCGTTATTTCACTGCTGCATAAATAAGTGACAAATCCACAACCACAACACACACTATTAAAAAAAAAATAAGACTTTAATTCCCTATATAACAAAATAGCATACTAACTTCAAAATTGCTAATTTTTTGTGCATTTTCTACGCTCCATAATAACAAACCAATATTTTTAATAATGTAATTTATTAAAATTGATCAATTATTTTTATTTATATAATATGATATATAAAATATTTGGAACGTGTTTCAGAATCACTGCATTCTATTTGCGAATCCGTTGTTGTGGCTCGCGACGTCGCCAAACTACCGCCTATACCTTTCCACGATGGAATTAAACTGGAAAGAAAAAAATCAAAGGTAAATAATATATTGAAAATATATATACATATATAATTTTTATTATAATTATATTTTTTTATATGTAGCCAGCCGTTTCTACCTTGAAATAGGTTGTATGTACTTTTTTTGCTAAAACACACAGTAGTCGATACGAATCGACCACAAAATTCATACTAAATTAACTAACAGACCAATAACGTTGGACCATTTACCTTTCACACACATAGATAGTTTATTTTTTCTGGTATAATTTGCCATCAGTCTTTTGATTATTATGAGCTTTGTTGGGAGGTTGCTGTCATGTAAAGTTGATTCACATTAGGATCAAATCTTCCCGTGGCGGACATTAATAAGCCTAGAATTATACAGCTAGATTAAGTATGGCTTTTCTTATAAGATGTCTAAAATGTCAATTGTATGTTAATAAAGATTAAATGAAGTATGAAAGTTCGTAAAATTGAAGTGTCTGTTTGTAATGTTAAAATAACAGTGTTTTACTTAATGCATATGAAATGATATACGATACTTATAAGAAAAACACATTTTTTAAAATTTTTGTCCATTTGTCTGTTTGTTCCGGACGATCTCTGAAACGGCTGGACTGATTTTAACGGGACTTTCATTGGAAGATAGCTGATGTTATAGGAAATAACATTGGCTACTTTTGTTTTAGAAAAAAAAATGGGTTTCGCTCAAAAAAATTTAAACGTACCTAGGGACGAATCCGAGCGAAGCGAGGCTCAGTCGCTAGTGCTATATAAATCCAAAACTCTATTGAGTTTGTTGTACAAAAAAGTTCCTAAAATATATAAAACTTATTAGCAAAGGCATGTTTGGTTCGTGGCTTAGTACACTTTTCTTGTCTGAAGAAAGTAATAATATAATGGTCCAATTAGACAATTCCCGTGTCTCCGCAGCTGCACCCGGGGCAGGGCGCGGGCGGCGCGGGCGCGCGCTCCTCGCTGTACGTGGACCTGTCGCGCCTGCCCGCGCTCACGCGCAACGTCAGCGAGACGCAGCTCGTGGCGGACATACGCAGTGTCGGTGAGTGCTCCGTAACTGGTCACATGTATGTATGTGTTCAGCCCTTTTTAACGTCCCACTGCTGGGGGTGGGCCTCCCTTCAGTACGTGGGGGATCAGGCCATAGTCCACCACGCTGGCCAAGTGCGGGCGGACTGAGCATGTCTGCAGACAACTTGTTAAGTTCTCTCAGACATGCAAGTTTCCTCACTATGCTTTCCTTCACCGTTAAGACAAGTGGTAATCATGTTGGAAATGATTCGCACATGAAAATATCAGGGGTGCGAGACCCGGGGATTTGAACCCGCTTCACTCGGTTTCCCAAGCGAGCGCGTTGCAACTGGTGACATATTGTTCCTTAATTATCTTATTAGTGGCTTCAAATCGTGCTGTTGTATTTTGACAACTCAATATAATCAAAAAGTATGTCAATTAATATTCATTCTCTTAGGAAAGCGCGGTCATGGTATGAGACGTTGTAGTGGGCCGACACCTTAATGAAATAATTTAAATAAACCTATTTTTTCGGATTTCCTCGCGTTTTTGTTTACCTCATCTCTCTTGTAGCTAAGATCGCTATAGAGGATTTGAAGACCGCGAAAAAAAACAAAAAAAATATTTTTAAAAAATTTGAAATACACTCGTAAGCAAAAAAATCGACTCAGGACGCACGCTTGCGGTTAAAAAGCTCTAGCAAAAAATCGGAAGCTTTTATTATATTTCTGATTTTAACATCTCAAAGTTCTTTGTTTTAGCTTTAAAATGAGTGGTCTATGTTGTTATTAAAAAATGTTTTCTGGTAAAGAAAAAATATTGAATGAGATGGAGTCTTAAGCAATAAAAAAGTGATGGTTGACGGTAAAGAAAATACCACGTAAAATTCGTCAAAACAATAATTTAATTAAAATTATTTTTTTAATATTTACTGTTGCCCCTCCTGGCCCTAATAACAGCTTCCAATCGCTTTTGATCCATGAAGGATCAAATAAGTTTCCTTACTCGATCTTGTTCGATGCTATTCCATTCGTCGATTAGCGCTGCTTTGAGGTCCGCCATCGTGTCTGGTGCAGGATTTCTAGCCCGAACTTTTCTTTTAAGATCATCCCACAAATGCTCGATAGGATTTAAGTCCGGGCTACGCGCTGGCCAGTCCATAGCGGCAATTGCGACCTCCTGTAAATACTGCCGGACGGGACTTGCAATATGTGGACGGGCATTGTCGTGCATTAGGACGAAGTTTTCGCCAATGAAACCGGCGTAGGGAACGACGTGATCCTCTAAAATCTCTTCGATGTATCGGATCGCCGTCAATCCTCCCATTTGACCGCCAGTTTCAATAAAAACCAACTCGGTTTTTGCCTCGCTTGAAATGCCGGCCCACACCATCCAGGAACCTCCTCCAAAAGCAACATTTTCTTTGATACAGCACTGCGCGTATCTTTCCCCAGGTCTTCTGTAGACTCGTCCTCTTCTATCACTACCATGCAAGCACACTCTACTTTTGTCTGAGAAGAGAACGGTGCTCCATTGTTCGTCAGTCCAATCAACGTGTTCTCTAGCAAAACGTAGGCGGGCTGCTCGGTGGTCTGGGGTTAATTTGGGGCCAGTAGCTGGCCTTTTTGGCTCAAGCCTAGCTGCCTTAAGTCGTCTTCTGACTGTCCAGCCACTCACAGCTACTCCTCGCGTTTCTCTGAGCTCTTGTTGGACTTGAACGCCAGTGAGGGCCCGATTTCTTAACGATGTGCTGACAATAAATCGGTCATCTCTCTCTGATGTGCACCTTTTTCTACCGGAACCGCGTCTTCGATTAAAGCCACCAGTCTCCTGGTAACGACGCTAAAATCTAGAAACAGCAGACTGGCTCATGTTCAGTGCACGTGCCACTTCACGCTGACTCTGGCCTTGTCGCAATAGGGTGATCGCTTGAGCTGCTAAATCGCTTGTTGTGTCCATTCTCAGGTAGAATTCTTGATTGTTGATAACGGAGATGTGTATCGGTTGACGTTTGACGGCTAACTGATAAGTGTGGGTCAGGTAGATAACCTTTTATATGGGTCAGTAACCCTTAATTAGCACTATTGTAAACAAGCGTAAAAAGGGTGGTTACTGATCACAACATATTGTTGGGTTGTGTGAGCAATAAACCTTACAATATTTTATATCATTTGAAGCTAATACTAGCAGCTTTAAGATTTTACTATGAAAAAAATATATTTGCTTTCAGTTTTTTTTCCAGTGACTTGCGACTACAGATGTGTCGTCTGAGTCGACTTTTTTGCTCACGAGAGTATTTGCGTAAATCTATTAAAGTATTATAAAATATCACACCAGATTCCAGTGGCACTAGAACATCAATAACCAGCACAGTGCTAGATCAAATACTCCGTCTCGCGCCGCGAAGTAAACCTCTGTCCCCTCACCCGCATTCCTCCACCCGAATTGTAATATTTGTTCGTTTACTGCTTATATGTATGTAGAGTATTACATAGAATATTACATATAAGTAATTTCAAATGTCCGTTTTTTACTTTTCGTTGTAGTGTAAAATTTTTGAAGTTATACTTCTTTTGGGTCGTTTGGAAAAAGATTACTATGGGCGCGCACACCGACAGCCAAAAAGCGACATGAAATGCGTGAAAACTCATAACTATATTCAAAGTAGTTTCTCAAGTATTCATAAATCTATAACATGTGTTTTATATCAGTGGAGATAGTAAATATATATTTATTTTTATTCATTTATAATTTTATTATTTACAAACAATAATTTATAATGTTACTTATTAACAGAGATTTGTGACTTGTGACATACGAGATGAAATCTTTAGCTAATTTTGTTCTCTTACGCCAAAGAAGTATAACTTCTTACGTGCGTTTTTTTTTAATTATATGGTTAAAACTATATTATTTTTTATGAAAGAACAAGTATAACAATAAACTGTAATTAGGTATTTTTTATAAAATTAATGTAATACACTTTTGTGACTTCCTAAATATTGTGTGACAATTGTTTTCTTTAGTAAATAATGTGTCAACTTGATAAATTTAATTTAGTTGATTATTTAATTTTTAATGGCTGCTAGAGCCATCTTAAGTTGAGTTATTTTGGTGTAGTTGTACTTACAATGTAATTAAACTGTTATATATTAGTTAGGAAGTACTGAGTTAAATATTATACTTTATTTAGAATATTTGTTGATATTTGTACTATAATAATATTAAATTACCACAAAAAAAATGTTTACTAAACATTTTTGTTACAGGTTCGAAAGCCTTCAATAATATGACGGAACAATTCAGTAAATTGAATAAACTGAGCCACTCTTTAAACGCTAGAGCTAGACCCAGTCTCCAACTGAAATTCGACCAAAGCGCCTCGCGAACTAAGAAAATATTCACCTTAGCTCAAAATAAAGGAGATTCCAAAAAGAAAGGTAGTCTCTCAGACGGCATGAGCTCCGACTACTCATCAGATGACGAAAATAGAACAAACATTTTCGAACCGACACTAGATAATTTTGAACACATGCAACACTACATCGGCGATCAACAAAGAAAAGACGAAAATGACTGCGATTTAGTACAAAACCCATTATATTCCTCAAAAATTGAACCCCACGAAGAAGTAGTTGAAGCAAGCACATCCGTACAAACGGACAAGCAGACATTAAAAACGCCAAGTAACAACACCAAAAGGAACCCATTCAACGAATCTATAACGCCAGAAATACAAGTCGAATCGGAAAATTCTAAGCCGATCCCACCGAATTCTTTGATGCTCTCACAAAAACTGTCACAAAGTTCAGGATACATAAATTTCGATGACCAAAATGTACCAGGAGTGAATTTTCATGTCAGATCAAATTCGCAACACGAAATAACATTAAATATAGCACAATCACACAGTGAGTCTGCTCTAAGGCAGTTGAAGAACATAGCAAGCCCGATGTCTAGTGCTACGAGGGAGATGGTATTATCTCCTTTGTCCAAGCTGGCTAAAGGCGTCCAGACATTGGGTGCTAACTTAGATCCAAGAAAGATAAAGGTAAGAATTTGTGTTGTGTTTATGGTTATGTGTTATGTCACTTGTTTATGGTCGCAATCCCGCGTATATGGATAGACTAGCACTCTCCCTCGCTTGCGTCGGGTTCGTCCTGAGACAAAAACCCATCCGCCGACCGATCGGTCGTTCAATCCGCCGACCGATCTGTCGAACTATCCGTCGATCGATCCGGCGACCTATCTGTCAATCCGTTGCTGATCCGTCGATCGATCCGTCGACCTATCCGTTGATCTATTCATCCTTACAAACTTTTACATTTATAAAATAGTAGTTTGATTAATATTATTAAAATTTTAAATAAAAAAAATGTATTATTTAAATCCAGGCTCCGCCATCGGTGAAACAGATATCTGAACAGCAATATGAAGAGCATAAGAAATTACAAGAGAAATGGCAGGATTGCAATACTCGACTCGTCGCTCTCTAAACAATGTTGCTAGTACAAAATCAACCACCGCAAACAAACCAGTGTTACCAGTAATGTACTACCTACATGTATCCTCCATTATATTTATAAAATATTAAATAATCTCCCAAAAGTATTAAATGGAGTAGTAGGGCCGTAGGGAATAGTTTTTTTTTAAATATTATATTTAATAATCCGAATAATCAAATTTCTTAGGTATTTTTTTATATTATTTTATTTAAAAAAAATGCATTAATTAAAAACTACTTTTGTATAATTAATTAATTATATATTTTTTTTTACAACTTATCTTCAACTAATCTTCTCTACGGTCATACCAATTTTTTTGTAAAAGTACTATAAATAATCAGTGCTTGTGAAGTATAGGCAGTGTTGCCAGTTTCCTTTGCTTAGTTCAATTATTAGAATACTTATTATAACTATATTAGAGATAGCCAATTAATTTAGAAATTCGAAATATTTGACAATGAATTCCAATTTGTATAGAAATTGTTATGTAATCTGTAATGTCCGTTTACGTGTTAGTTTGCTTAGAAATTTAAATTATTTCATAGAATATTGTAACAAGTTATGATGACATAAAAAATAAAACAATTATTACTCTATAGTTTTATATAAAGAAAAAAAACTCGATATATCTCGAACAAGATTTTATTTTAATTTGTCACATTGAATAATTTTTTAAACAATTATTGCCAGTGCAATCGCCAAATATAATCTCCGTGTACTAAATATAAATAGCGTTTATGTAGTTGGTATGTTTAATTGTCGATACTCGTTAGCGATCGCGTTAAATATAATACATTGTGATGAATTACACACATTAGATATTTATTATTTAACAGAATGCATTTTAAATAAAACTATTGTTTCGGGAGAGTCCCGTGACCATGATTGCCGTAATAAAGCATTCGAAACATCGGGGCCCAAAAATCAAAATAAATCCGTGAAAAAATTCGAAAAAATAGGTTTATTTAAAATTTCGCAAATTTCGCGTAAATCTCAGAAAATATTAACAAACTACATTTAAATCCGTTAATACTCTAGCGATTGTCATGTTTTTGGTACGGTATAGAGGTAAAAATTTGTAAGTTCGAAATTAATATTTTTATAGTTATTGTATTCTTATAATAACACTAGCATTGACCGCGGCTCCGCCCGCGTTCAGATGACCACAAACCAAATTCTTTTACATATTAGTATACTCTTACATTACAGTTTTAAATTTTTTCTCAGAAATTAGATATTTTCCCGCGGTAAAAAGTATCCTATATGTTGACCCGGATAACCAGCTATCACCATACCAAAATTCATCAAAATCTCTCCAGTGGTTTTTCTGGGATGCGGTAACAGACAGACAAAAATTCTAAAAACTATAGATTCGGCCTCTGTATCGACAATAATGTTTATTTCAATAAGATTTATCAATAAATATTTAATGTACAGATTCGGCTTAGTAACAATTTTATTATATGTATAAAATTAAACATATCTTTAACGTTCCATGAAAAATGAATGTATGTTTATGTATATCAATTGCATCATAGCACACACGAATTTTTTTTTTAATTAAGCTAGTTTCAAGTATCTATTTAAAGTTTGTATCTAAATATTTTCGTTTTAATTCTAATTTGTATTCTGTCTCTCAGCAGATACTAAGTTATGTCAGTCATTTTTTTAATAATTTCACTTAGTGAATTTTACCTCTATACCAAACATGTAGATCTTTTAGTAATATATAAGAGAAAAACAGATGACACGAAATAAAGCAAAGTTAATTTATAATTTATATTATCTAGTATGTTTTAATTTCGTTAAACGATTTAGTATGTTATTGACAAAGATTTGGCAGGGTCGATCGAGTTTAATAAAAAGCTTTAGTGCAACAACATTCCTTATTCGGTATTTACTCTATAATAATATAATAATTTAAAAGTATTGATAAATATGAATTGCACTTGATTTTATTAATTCACGTAACATGTTCTTAAAAAATACTTAGCTATACTAAATTTTCAGACATTTTGTCGACCGACTTTCTTATATGAACTTTTCATTCACTCTTTTAATGTCATTTTAAGTTTTTTTTAAATTTATGACTAAAAGTCGGCCTACAAATTGTATTCCTATTTAAAAAAAAAGGATCAATTATTGGGTATTACCTCATTAACTGTCGCAAAATCCAGTATTATATAGAAAAATTACTCTATTAATTTAAACTTATCTATGTATCGTAACGATCTATATGTGTATACCCTAATTTATTAGAATTAACGTATCGGAGTATGTAATTCATTATATTTAATGATTTTTCAAGTTATTCTAATAATTAGTGAATGAACACTTTTGTGAATTGAAACTTATTTATTAAACTTAGCACACATTATTTATTACAATACAAATATACTCTTGCAACAACAACATAATATAGTATGTATTTACTAATCAATACCAACGTGAGATAAAAGCTGTTCTTGTCTTTATCTAATATAAAGCAAAAATTACCACTCTATAAGAAACCCTGAAATAAAATAGTGACGGTTCAAATTAGTGCTTATTCATTCAAACGATCAATATTGTTGTACTTTTCAGTAGAGTTTTTTCCTATATTTTAAAAACAAAGTTTTTTTTAAAAGATTTATATATTTACATATTATATTCATATATAGATAAAATACATATTTTCGGTTTTTTTAAAAATAATGGATTTTAAAATGTGTATTTAATATCATATAATTCTTTCGGTAAATTGGTCGTTTGGACAAACAAGCACTGAGACGACGGGTTGTTGTCATCAATGTTTTTCATATAAATAAATTGTATGTTATTTTTAATATAAAATATTGCCTTTTTTCATATAGTATTCAAAAGACAAATATTTATTAAATGTATTTCAATGTTTAATAATGAAGATGCCCTGTTATTCCCGTTCTAAACCTTTGTATGTAAGTAAATGACTAAATTTTTAATCTGTCAGTATCTAAAAATGAGTTATATAAGCAACTAGGTACGTTTTTTGAGCGGAACCCTAATTCTTTTTCGAAAATAAAAGTTGCCTAAGTTACTCCTTATAACATCAGCTATCTGCCAGTGATAGTCCCGTCAAAATCAGTCCACCCGTTTCGAAGATTAGCCGGAACAGACAGACAACAATGTTAAAATTGTGTTTTCCTTTTAAGTACCGTATATAATTTCCTATGCATATAGTAAAACGGTTTTTTTTCGAGTGCGATATTTTATCTGTATGTATAGATAATATAACCACTATAATCAGTCCATAATAAAAGTTTAGACTTCCAAAATTTGCATAACAGGACATACTCATCTCTTTAACTTTAACTATGTATCTCTCACAAAAATATACCTGTCCTACTCAAACAGTAATTTATCATATAAGTATATTATTACTAATATATTTATAGAACGTAGTTTATTGTGCTTTTAAAAATGTACACAAAATCTATAATTATTATTACTAGTGACATATTTAAACCCCTTTTCGACACGTATACAGTTAATAATGCAAAAATATGAACCAATTTAATACTAAGATAGTTAACATTATCTGTGCGTTTTTTGTAAACATTTAAAAATATTTTGTTAATATGATTTCCTTAACAATCTGTTGATATAGGAATGCTTATTTCGCCTCTTTTTCGTATTTGTCCATTTCCATGATAATTTATTATCTATCAAGTTATGTCCTAAATTGATGGTGAGCCCATAGCTATAGGAGTCAGACTAAGGAACAATATAGACAGAGTGTCATAGAACTAATCATGAAGCCAAATAATAATGTTTTGAAATGACAATTTGTATACAGTAATACCCCGGACTTACGCGATAGGTGGGACCGAGCGATAACCGTGTAAGTCGAATTCGCGTAAGTCGAACTTTGCATATAAATACATATAAAGTATGTTTAATAATAAAAGAATTAATATTTTTATGAATAAATCAACGTAAAACAAAGTTATTTCGATGTCGAAGGCTTCATATATTCTAACAACGTCGCCTGACGAGTTAAGTTTTGACGTCCGTTGACGGCCGATCCGTTTTGATGCTTGATTCCGGTAGGTAAAATTTGTTTGCCAATTCACAAATTGTTATTTTTTGTTCTTTTGGATGACATAATTAGATGTTATCAATAAAACGCACTGCGTACGTCAAACAATTCCATGCAGAATTCCACGCTCGAACCTTTCGTAAACGGAACACTAACATGGTGGAGTGGGAGAGCTGATGCGCGCGGCCGTCAAAAAGAAAAACCGCGTAACTCCGAATTCACGTAAAACGGGGTAGCGTAAGTCGAGGTATTACTGTACTGAGTAATAATAGCCGGTCAGCTAGTCATTTTGGTAGGTTTACCTGGAAATTTTTCTGAGAGTTTTGGAAATTGGTGATTGAAAAACTTTGCCGCTCGCGCCGCCATATTGGAAAAATGGCGCCTAAAAACAGTTTTTTGACAATATCTCCTTTCCTACGTATTTAACTACCAAAATAGTTATATAATAAATAAAACTAAAGATATAAGAGATATGTAATACCTTTTTTGTAAAATGAATAATTTTAGCGTACGAGCGCTGCAAAATCGACTCAACAAAAAAACCTAACCTAAACTCTTTTCCACACGACCCAAGTTAGCCTATTTGATATTTCCTTTAAATTTATTTTTTTCTTTAAAGAGAGTAAACGATCTGTCTAACAAAATCGAGAATAGTGGCATAACAGCCAAACACGCTACAATTTTCTACAGAAATTTAATTTGACAAACTCCGTCTATATAATTCTTTAGTCTGAAACATACGCTTATGCTCAGCAATTAATATTTTTTTATTTTATATTATATTTAATATATCTTAAATTTATTGTTGATGTTTAAAAATGATAATATCCAATACACTTCCTTTTAGAATAAAAGTAATGAAAATGTATCCAAGGATGTTAATCATTAGCTGTTCCACGCTAGTGTTGTTATGAACTTTTGAGATTTGTAACAGCTTTGTACATGTGATAGAAAAATAGCAGTGTTTGTTGTTAAAAATATCGGCTAATATAGATTTGCTTCGATTTCAACGAAAATCTCAAAACGTATTGAAATTAAATTATAATTTAAATTCAGTTCAAAATTCTTATTTTCTTAATTTTCATCTACATATGTATATCTGTAAAAAATGTTTACCACTTCATGTTTTTTCTAAATTTTCTATTATATAAATAAACGTTCAGTATTTGTAATTATTATTATACAACTAATGCTTAAATGGTACAAAACGTTCTAATGATTTTCAATGATTGATCAATATTTATAATTATTTATTTTTTATTGTTAAGTTTATAAATAATTAATGTTTTGAGATCAATTGACATATATTGTGTATTAGAATAATGCAAATCGTATTCAATTTTGGCCAAAACTATTGAGAATTGTAAAACAAAAGATAAACAGTGAATTAGTTAATATTTTGTCTGTGATTATCTTAATTATGTGTATAGGAAACTTTTGTTTTTCTATTTAATAAATATATTAAATTGCTTTAAATTAATATGCTATTATTAATCCCTCCACGACCGCAGACACGCCGGCGTGTCAGTTAATAATAGATTTCGTAGAATTTTAATTAATTTTTAAAAAAATTACCTGGAGGTGATAATTTTATACCCGTGTTTACTACTCAGACTTCATTATTGTTTGTCTTGACTTGTCGTTCGAAAATACAAATTAGCAACTGAATGTTATAAACGATGCGCGAACGCTTATAAGGCGACCACAATGCTGTAACGAAAAGTTATTCTTAGTTAAAAACCTGGATATTTTCTTGATATTTACATGTAACAAGCCTTGAATCGATTTAATTTATTCATTTATGAAAGAATTTATGAAATTAATACCATATTTACATGTTTTTTGTCTTACATACACAAAAAATATGTCCTAGATTTGAGAACTTCCTTCTTTTTTGAAGGTGGTCAAAATTGAATAATATATTTTATAGTGTTGCATGGTTTATTTGCAAGTTTTGCAAAATAATAATTGCAGAAAATAATAATTTTGAGGAGCATACAAAGTATTTAATATAGAAATGATTCCTAAAGTTGATTATTCAGCCAATGAAAAATATTTATGTGAAGTTAAAATACAGGGTCATTGGTATATCGACGTATTGCCATTAGGAGGAGCTTTATTAGCTTTTTTCAAAATAAGTAAAAAATGCAACATCAAAAATTTACAAAAAAAAGTATCGATTTAAATCTCATTTTTTCTTGCGATTTATGAAAACGATCAAACACTGGTCATTTATAAATATTAAAACAACAATTATCGGTCCAAATTTAAAAATGCGAGATGAAAAACTATAATATTTCAATATTTTTTTGAGATATTTTTCCACAAAATTGCCTTAAAAAAACGTCATGAAACTTGGCTTGCAGGTTATTTTAAAAACATTACTGTTTTTTTAGCTCTCCAGCAATACATAAAAACTAGGAACTTATTTCAAAGAAACTAAAAAAAAATGATCACAAAAGAAGCAGGCGGAAATTCGTATTCAAACTAAACTTAAGGTCGTTCTTTAAAATTTCAGTATTGCAGTTAACTTTAATATAAATTACCACATAATAAGGCATTATATAGTTAATATTTTATTGAGTTTATACATATTTTTTCAAGTTTTTCAAAAGTTTTAATCTGTGCATAACCACATGATGTCATGTCAGGTCAAAGTCATAGAAACGTCAAACGAACATCTGTCATCAAATCGATTTGTGGGAATCCAATTGCTTATAAATTGTAAATTGTTTTATTATTGTAATAAAACATTACAAATTACTATTGGCATTCATGCAGCCACTGAACAAAATAATTGAATTGAATAAGCCTATACATACATAAAATAATATTTAAATATTTTACGTTATTAAGGTATTATTTATATCAAAAGCCAATTTAATTATTTTCATTGAATTCCAATACAGATATAATAATTTACTTTTATTTTTGTTTACGGCCGTTAGATTAACAACTTAAATTAGATTGAAGAATAAGTTGTTAATAGAAAAATGGTAACTGCATATTATATTATGAAAATGTCTAAAAGTAACAGACCTACTGATATTAATGAATATTATAATACTTTATGTGAAACAAATTTTAAAACAATACAACATATTAAAAATCGTGTGATGTGTAGAGTATGCCTTAAAATGGGCTCGATTCCTATATTTGAAAATGAAGACTCATCAGATATCTTGGAGACATTATCTTTTTTTGGTAACATTGAGGTCAAAAGAGAAGATGAATTACCAAAACATCTATGTGGAATCTGTTACAAGTTTGTTAAAAGTGCAATATTATTCCAAAAAGTTGCTAAATTAAGTGAAGAAATTTTAAAGAATCCTATTAAAGAAGAAAGTATTGATTCATTTTCAGACAACCAAGATAACTGTAAAGATATTAAAGAATCTATGAAGTCGTGGCCAGTTTCCATTACCTCTAAAAAAGAAACTAAAAGATGTACATTAAAGGTAATTTCAAAAGTGCAGTGCTATATATGTAATAAAGTAGTTAATAAATCATACTATAAAGAGCACTTAACAATGCATGATCCAAATCATCACAAGTATGTTTGTGATATTTGTGGAAAGTCATTTAGGTTGCGGTGTGCATATCATAACCATAGTCTCCGACATGGAACTGGTTTTCCTTTTAAATGTCAATTCTGCCCATACAAGGGAAAATATGCAGAGTTGTTAAAAACTCATATGCGTACACATACTGGTGATTATAGATACATGTGTACAGAATGTCCAGCTAGATTTTTATTTAAAAGCAATTTGAATAGCCATGTTTTAAATAAGCATAAAGAAAAGGAACATAAATGTGATGCTTGTAAAAGAGCTTTTCACACTAAATTAGCACTTCAGAGACATTTTGAAGTGGATCATTTGGGTATTAAAACTCATGTTTGCAATGTATGTGGGAATGCATTTGGCTACAGAAATGCAATGATGAAGCATCAAAGAAGAGTCCATAAAAGAGAAAAAATGATGTTTTCACGAATGCCTTCATATTTACAAGCAGAAGATAAAATTATAGAGACTCCTAGTGCTTAAATAATGTATCTTTTTTTTTTAACGGGAAATGCATTTACGCATGAGGTATGGGACTCACCGGCAAAGCCGGTACTACCCACTAAAACCCAACAAAACCTTCCCCCGTCTTAATGGGGCGTCGCAGGATCGCTTACGCATTCAACTACGACGCCCTGACGGCAGGTCTGCCGAAGCAGACCACAACAACCACGGGGTTGCTCCACAGTCCACTCTGCTATCAGAGAAGTACCAGGAGCAACCCGCATGGTACACTGCCCTCCGAAGAGGGCCACCTCTCACCGCCCACCGAAGTGGGCCACCTCCCAGTGCGTTTCTTGGCTTCGCGCTCGGTTGGGTTGCCGGGCACTACTGAGTCCCCCCTATCACGACAAGGTGAACGCACGTTGGGGGGGAACTTAAATAATGTACCTTAGGTTATTATAGTATTCCTATAAGTTTATTATATGCAATACAATATATTAAAAAATTGTATAATTATGAAAAAGTACTTATTTTTGAAAATATTATATCTTCTGAAGGCTGAAAGTCATACAACATATAAATATTCTATTTTTAACTTTTCAAGTAATATAATCTTGAAGAAACACTATTAATTAGAAATTTAGATTGCCATGCCGTTATTTAATGATTGTAATAAAACCAAACCAAACAATCTTTTTTCTTTTATTTACTAACATATCTCTCTAGACGTATATAACAAGCATGTAAGTAGATTGCCTTTCCTATGATGGCTAGAGCTAAGTTTTTTGCACTACGAACATTGGCCCCATTTATTTATTATAGGTAGTATTATTACAGTGAACGCACTCATAAAATTGGTACCTAATTACATTTGTGACAGTTAAATAAAGCTGTCAGTGTCACTTAATAAATGACATTGACATTTTAGCAATATTTTAAATAAACAAAACAGAAAACATTACAATATCTACCATATCTTTATCTACTGGACCTGTAAAAAATGGTGACTTCTTACTATATGACGAAGCTTACGAAAAACAAAAGTCCTGTTGATATACACGAATACTACAGTCACAATAAAGAAAGTGCAGAAGGATTATTTGAAGGGAAAAATTCTAAGTGTAGAATTTGTCTTCGAGATGGGTCATTGTCTATCCACGATAGTGAAAATACTTTGGAAATAATCCAAGCTTTAAAGATTTTTACCAGCATTGATATCAAGCAAGACGATATATTCCCAAAAAAGTTATGCAATATTTGTTATCAATTTATCAGACACGCCATTATGTTTAGGAAAATAGCAATACAATCAGATCAATTATTACAAAAACATTTGAAACTACAGGAAAATAAATGTCGTGATGACAACTTAGTAATCTTAACACATAATTCTTCTAATAGTAAAAAAAGAAATAATACATTAATTCAAAAAGTTTATGATAAAAATATTAAAAATGACACGAAAATACAATGCCCGACATGTAAAAGGATTATAAGAAAATCCTATTATAAGATACACATGACAATGCATGATCCGGATCATGACAAATATGTGTGTGATATATGTGGCAAAACATTTAGACTAAGAGTTGGCTATCACAATCATAGGCTTCGTCACCGTACAGATTATCCTTACAAATGTAATTTATGCCCCTTTAAGGGAAGATATGCTGAGCGCCTCAAAAGTCACATGAGAACTCATACTCGTGAATATAGATACATGTGCACTGAATGCCCAGCCAGGTTCCTTTTTAAAGGTAATCTTAACAGTCATGTACTATTAAAGCATAAAGAACCTCAACATAAGTGCAATAATTGTGATAAAGCTTTTCATACAAAATTAAAACTACAAAGACATTATGAAGTTGAACATCTAGGAATGAAAAGTCATGTATGCAATATTTGTGGAAGAACATTTGGTTACAGAAATGCTATGATGAATCATCAAAGAAGAGTACATAAAAGAGAGAAATTAAGATTTTCTTACAATTCATCTCAAGATCATAATAAAATTATGTAATATGTGTAATAATTGACATGACCATTCCCTTTGAACAGTGTTTTTTATTGCAGCAGCAGCAGCATATACCCATTGCCCATACTAAACACTTACCCCATCCCATACAAAGAAATTGTTAAACCCTATTTTAGTCTACTTTTACCCAATTTAGTACAAGTGGCAAAATCCAAAGGATGGTTATGTATTTGATCTGTATGTATGAGCACCCAATCCTATATTCCCTCGTAACTTCTTAACGGCTGAACCTACTTAAAAGAATGAATTTTAAGTTGTAATACAGAATTTTTTACCTTGTTAAGTTCACAACTTGGTAACGTGAAAACAACGGTATATTAAAATTATAACATTCAGTACTAGATAGGCGATAATTTTAATGATTTTTTTATTCCGCCCAATCTTATTGTGGGTATCAAAATGAAGGCATTTATGCGGCGATTACAAAAACTACATTTTTGAATAATATGCTTATTTATACAGTAGGTATGCTTGTTACGAATCTTGCTACATGTATGCCCCCGACTGTTCGCTTTTTACACAGTCGGATTTTTTATATTATAGGTAATTATTATAGTTTTTATTTATATGTTAATTATTACACTTCATATTTATGTACTTATATAATTATAATTACATAAAATTATAGATATCATTTACCATAACACCGTACTTTTTTTGTACTTATTACGATAGATATAAAAAACCGACATTTCGCATCCCTATTCCCTAACCTCAGTCGGAACTCGGAGCTCAGAGGGCTAGTATCAGAGATGCGCAAACTAGGTCCTGGAGTGGATTGAACATGGAATAGTTCCTTTCCATAAAGGAACTATGTTCACGAAACATGTTCGCGGAACTATCTAGTTCCGATAGTTCACCCGATCCGATCGTTCCGATTTTAACAGGTTATCACTGTCATCGGTTCCCGAGGACAGCATAGCGGGAGATATAGTTTTAATTGACCGACTTCAAAAAAAAGGGGGTTATCAATTCGACACGTATGCATATAATATTATTAGAACTGCAAGATATTAACATAATTTGATATATTAGGGCTTCGAAGCAAATATACAAAATTTTATAGGTGTATAGATGTATGTATGTATGTATGTATGTATGTTTGTTTGTTTGTTTGTTTGTTTGTTTGTGTGTATGTATGTTTGTCCACGCATTTCGCCGAAACTACTATTCCGAACGACGTGATGATGCCTTTTTATTTGCTTACATTTATTTTAACTTAGGGAATAGTAAGAATTTCATCAAAATCGGTTCAGTGGTTTTGAAGATATGGATAAAAAAGTGTATTTTTTGTAATTACTACTTTTTACAAAAACTATTTCAGTTTTTACTTAAAACTAAAAATTACGAAATAAAAAAGGTTTAAAAAAAAATCCAAACCTTAAAAAAACTACGGTGCTTTCGCGCGCAATGTGAATCTAGACGAACGCAACAAAGTACAAAAATATTGTGTCAAAAGTGAAAGAATATTAAAATTTAAAAATATATTATTAATGTTTTAAAAGTTCAAAACGAAAATCAGATTTAATCAATGAATTATCGACTTTAACGCACAGTGAAGTTGGCACATTATTAATTGTAATAGCATAGTAAGAGATGACATTATAATTGTTGCGAATACTCGCACACGCACTAGTCACTACAGTAGTTTACACACAGTACCTACGCGATATAATGGCGCTTCCACACAGCAGTGCAGCAGATAACATCACATACCTAACATTTTTTAACTGAAATCATTTTAAATCCACGAAAAAACGGAGAAGGTTCTCAATTCGACACGTATAAATATATTTTTTTATTATTTGACCTCTTCTTACTTTGGTACTAGGTACCTACTATATCTACACTAAAAATGGAAAATAAAAACTAAAAAAAAACTACTTCAAATAAATAAAAATATTGTAAATGATTGTTTAACTTATGAATTATTTTATTATATATATTGATCTTAATTTTTAATTATTTATTGTAATTATTTTTATTAATTATAAATTCTAATTCATATTAGGTATTGTAAAAATTAAGAAAAAAGTTTGAATTAATAAACATTCTTTATATACATAATAATTAATATAACATTAGATCTAATACTATTATTATAATATAACTGAATATAAAAGGATTTTATTAATAATTAATAAATACCTACTTTCTTAAATTGTTTTAATAGCATTTACAGTAAGCGCAAGAAATGAAAGGCTTTTTTATTTTAATTTAATTATTTAATGTATTTAGTTTGTGTTCGGTGTTTGGCACGTGTTTAAGATTCTCGGTGCTTGTGGCAAGCGCCCAGCATGTGGACGCGGCTTAACAGATGTTTACTAAACTCTTGTGAGGAAGCACCTTAAAATTTAATATCTCGGGTAGGTTCGGCAGGAGTCGGTTACGTTCAGTTCAGTCAGTCGCTCCGGTGATCGGTCCAATATATTCGTTTACTCGCTCCATCTCACTCCTGCACATGTGGAACTATATGGAACTGTGAACCTGTTTCAATTGACATCGCGGATTGGAACGATATCGTTCCGGCCTAGGACATAGTTTCGGGAACTATTTCAATCCGGACCTACGCATGTCTAGCTAGTATATACCAATGTACTCTGTGCAGAGGGCTGAGGGACGATTTAAAAAAATTTAAATAGATACTGTCAAGTGTCAATTCAAAATTATTGTCATATTCTCGTCAGAGTTAAGAGTAGTAGTGTTCTGTGGTCATAATGCAGTGGCCAGCATAAAGTAACTTATATATACTGGTGGGCAGTGGCATTGAAAGTTTAAACCATAGAGTATATTGCTACATATATAAAGTTTAAACTTTAACGCGTAAATGGCTTCGTCTTATTTTAAATTAAAAATACTTCGAAGGAAACGAAATAAAATCAATAAAAATAACATAGATAAAAAGGCAGAAGTGACTTGTTCTAACGCGCTCGATTCAAATATATCTTATAAGAATACCTGCAGAATATGTTTACATGAAGGTTCGATTTCAATTTCTTTGGAAGTATCATCAGATTTAAAACAATATATTAATTTATTTGGAGGTATCGATTTGTCTGACGATGAAGAAGATAACTTTCCTAAAAACTTGTGCAATTGTTGTAATTCTCTGTTACAAAATGCAATTTTATTTCGAAAAAAAGCACAGGCAAGTAGTTTATTATTAAATACCAAGACATTGAATGACTTTCCCTTACAGTCAAAAGATTTATGGGACAGATGTGAAAGCAATCGGAGTGAAAATTTTACTAATTATGACCAAAGCAATAAAGAAAAATCAAAGTATTCATATGCTAGTTGTAATACAGATTTCCTTAATTGTAATGAGTTAATGGTCCATAACAATTCAAAGCTGCATCGAAGTGTTCGCATTCAATGTCGAGTTTGTTACGGGTTATTTACCGCCCAACTGTATGAAAAGCATTTGGCATCACATCGTTCTACCTCTCATTTAATATGTGATGTATGTGGAAAATTGTACCGTAAAGATAATCTTACAAGACATCTTCAATTACATACTAATGATTTGCCTTTTCAGTGCAAAAGATGCCCTTATAGGGGTCGGTCCCTGGAATCTTTGAAAATTCATATGCATAGACATACAGGACAGAAGCCATTTGAGTGTGAGAAATGTAATTCAAGATTTTTGACTAGAAGTAATTTAAATAGACATTTTCTTACTCATAGCAAACAAAAATCATTTAAATGTATTGCATGTGCTAGATGCTTTTATACAAAACATGATATGAACATTCATTTTGTCTCTGAACACAGTGGTATTAAGGAATTTGAATGCAAACTTTGTGGTAATAAGTATGGTTCAAGAAAAGCTCTAATGCGCCATGAACTGCGAGTTCACAAAAGACAAAAACTGGCTAAAGGTAGAATGCCACTATATTTACAAGCTGAATATAAAGTGCCTTAATAAAATACTTATTCTGTATCAAATAATGGAGAAATAAAACTGCAAGTGTTTTTACAATAATATTAAATAGTTGTAAATAAAACTTACTGTTCATGACTAGAATATATTTTAATAACATTTCACAATATGAATACACAAATCTTTACATATAAATATAATCCTAGTTTCTAACTGGGTACATTTGAATAAACAATTTTAAAATTTGTAAATCTTAGTAGTACTAATGCACAATGGAAGATTCACAATGATAAAATATTCAATATTGTATTTTAAAAGGCCACTTGGGATCACTTGTTTTTACAGACTGGATACTATAACCATCACATTTTAAATTGGCAGTCAAAACAATGAAAATATATCTACATTTTCACAGTAAATATGACTTTCATTTTTTATTAGTTCACATTGCTCTAATAGCCAATCTAAATCATGATCAAAAAGATTAGGTTTAAAATTTCTAAAGCATTTCTTTTAATCAGGCTTCAGTAGTTCATTTATAAAAACTACTCAACTGTTAGAGAGGTACAAAATAATAGGCAAGCTAGACTTACAATAGTGTAAAATTTTGTATAAATAAATATGTTACACTAAATCGCTTGTGTGCTTTCATTTAAAAGATCTGTCTTTATAGTAGGGGAGCCCAAGAGGGGATTTTCTGTAGTTACTCGAGCGCGGCAGATTAACATAAAAAAGGTTACCTTGCACTCTATTGAGTACTTTCACCACAATATAAGTCTTCTATATAAAGGGGCGCGTCTAGGGAAGCCAATTAAAATATTTAAAAAATGTTTTGATAAGGTAGAAATACTTGAAACCGTCAGATTAAGGTGTGGTAGGCTAGTCACATCCTGAAAAGTGTCCAATTTAATAATCTGCCGATTTGCACAAGCCTAAGAGGCAAAAATCATCATAAACTTTATAGTCAATTATAATTTTATAACACACAATCCTCTTAAATATTATATTAATACTAAAGTATAATCTTTGGTTAACATTTTTTAAATAAGATATATTGTACAGTATATAAGTATAATACTTACATCTTAAAAATAACTTTAGATAAGATAATAAGATTCATAACACACATTTTGTGCAAAGCCATTAGTTACTTTAGGAACAAAAGCTGTTTTAATGTCCGCTACATCAGTAGTGATTTATAGAATATACAAGAATAAGCTGCTGCCTAGCTTGACTAGTTAGAAGTGTTTTGCATTTTATAGCAGTACTATCAAACAAGGTTTTTATAGTTCTAAACAATCCTAAATAATAAATTTGGTTACAATAGCACCACACTGGGTTAATAATATTTTTGGTTAATAATTTCATATTATGCCATTGGTGACTTTCAAAAAATAATTTCATTGCAAGCTAAGTTTATATAAAAGTTGCCAGTTTCTAAGGAATGACTACCCTAAACTGGTCCTAATACAGGTATCAAAATTCCATTTTAGTCATATGAAGGCCCCCGACACATTGTAACTATAAACATGGACGCAAATATAAACTCTAATGTTTGCAGAGATAACATGAGAGTGCACCAGATATACTCAATTCTTAAAACAACTACTTGCCAAATAAGTAGATACAGCACACCCACTATCGAAGGAACCGTTAGTAATACTGAAAACATTACTGGTATATCTGTGAACAAAAATTATAATTAGTAACCAAAATAATTTTGAAGTTTTATAAATAATAATACAAAAGTTACTTTTTTGTATATTAAGCAATATATTGATAAATATTTATTGGTTTCTATGTGGCTTTTGACGCTTTTGATGAGATCCTATTGGAGTTTTTAAATAGGGTAACTAATTGATCAATCAAAAGGCATAAATTACCTCTTTCACTAAGACTTCCTTTCCTGCCAATAAACAGCCGTGCAGCTTCTATAATAAATAGAGTCACTAGTACTCCATAATCTTGTCCCAATTTTCTTCCTACTCCTTGCCCTAGTTCATCTTGATATTTTATACTGATCAATACAGATTTTAATATTAATGTGCCCAATTCGCACGTAGCAAATAGTCCAAAATAGAACGAATTAATATATAAAAGTATTTCATATGCTAAACTAGAATTCACCATAGTATAAAAATAATAGTCCAACTAATATAATTACTAATTTATAATTAAAACAAAAGATAGAGCAACTGAACTATAAAAATGAGCATGTAAGTTTAAAAATAGATCGAGGAAATTATGAAGTATGAACAGCTGTCATTTATTGACATTTCACATTTGCATCACGCATAGATAATCACTATAATCTTACAATAAAATTAGGTAGGTGCAAAAATTTTTTTTACTTTATGTAGGTAGCTTATAGTGAACTTGACCAAATCAAAGCATTTGCCATTAGGAACACAGTTGTATAATAAATATATTATGTGTTAAATAAGAGATAAATCTTATTTATTTATTAACGTTCTAAATTTTTATCAAATAATTTAATATTATATCATTATTTAGATTTTATTATTATATGATTTATAACAGCTATTGAAATAAAATAATATTTTTTGATGATAGCACTAAATAAAAGTGCAAATAACGAAGATTTTATTACTTTATGGTCGGTACACACGACAACGATTTATCGTAGAGATTTGACTATGCAGTTCGTTTGTGCTGTTTTATTGATGGTATATACGAACATTGGCGCAGATGTTATGGTTGGTGCAAGCGATCGGAGGCAGTTACAAAATCTATTACTAATAGTTGTCGATCGCGTTTGCACAGTTTTATCGTAGTGTGTGGGTGGAAGTCAAAGCAATAATTCAGTTCGTTCACAAGTGCTTGCTGTATGTAATCAATATATTATCGATAATATCAAAAAATGTCGCAAGAAGATTGTAGCGGAATCCGTGAGTAGTATGCTTATGGGATAAGAAAAGTAAAGATTATTACGACCGCAATAAGAAAAATGCTGTCTATGACAGGCTAATTGATAAGTACCATCCCATCATTCTATCCCGGATAACATGTTTTTCGTCTGAATTTCTGCGAAGAACTGACGATTGACGCAGGTATAGTAGACGTGTGATAAACTGCACAAACACAAATGGCTACGATAAATAGTTGTCGTATGTACCGTCTATTAGAATTTAGATATAGGTACCAACATGAAAATAATGCAGTGAGCGAGCGAGATGCGAGTAGCTTATTTAACGAATAACGAGTAACGAGAAAGAGTATTGTGAATAGCATAGAGTATATTGCTACATATATAAAGTGAATAGTGACGAGTGACGACTGACGACAGGAGCGTAGGCGGTCGTTTGACTTTGTAGACGAGTGCACGTGTAGTTTAAGTTAAAGTAACCTTTTATTTAATACGCTAGTATTTAGTGACTAAATGAATGTTTAAAATATAAGTGATAACAATTCTATTGACTTTGATGGTTTGGTAAGTAACTTTTTGTTTTAATTCACACAATCGTCTACCACGCGCTCATGGGAGCACGTTTTAAAAAAATGTTTGTTTCGCATCATATTTTATTTTTCTTATAATTGAAATTTAAACTAGGCCTTTTAATTGCTCATTATATTAAAGAGTATAATTTAGTTCTCACATTGATTCTAAAAAATTGAAATATACCATTAAGGTCTACGGTAAGAAATTTACCGTTTTCTCAGTAATACCGTTTGTTTCTTAGACATCTAATTTCGAAAGAGATATTATTTTAATTTAAGAAACATTCATTTTTGTATATAAGCAGCTTTAATTGCAATGAAAAATTTCAATACAAATACGAAAATTTATTTTTTTAGTAAGTAGACAGCTGTATTTTTCCCCCATTTTTTTGTCTTAAGTATAATAGCTGCTATAAAACAGCTATGACAAAAGTTAAAGATTTACGATATGTAGGTAGGTAGTAGATATCGTACTTTAAGCAAAAAATATTGTGTTCTTACTGTAATACCTATTTATATTTTAGTTACTCCAAATAAAAGAAGTATTTTTTATCAAGTAACTTTTCATTTTTTTCTTTTACTTAATAGAATATTATTACTTAATAAAAATGTGTTTTTTAAAAATTGTTAACTACTTCACAAAGTATTATGTGATTTAAAATTTAATTACATTACTTATTTAATTCACACATTAATTATTGTATTTAATATTTAATGTATAATTCTAGAGAATATCTTCTCTTAGTTTGAGAGGTGTTTGTATAGGCTTAAAGAAGTTCAGACAAAATTTCCATGTTTTTCCCTTTGAGGTTGTAGTTAAATACTTCCTATTTATATTAAGGACTGTTCAGGCAAAGTGTGGAGCCACCATTAGTCATAAATAGTAAAAGTAATAGTGTGATGTCGATCTTTTAACAAAACATGATTGTATTTAATTGAATTGTAACAGATTTATCCATTCCTAGCTAGGTCAACTAACTATTGGAGATAATTTAATCAATGCCTGTCATATTCAGTACTCGTAATAAGTAAGATATATTTCCATACACAATACTTAAATTTTTTTATTACTAAACTAACAAATTTGTCTTTTCAATATATTTTTGTTTAACATGATAGAAAATGAAATTAAATAAGCTACATTATCTACACAATAATAATTGGTATCCGGATAAAATTATAATTGATTGTTTCTCTTTTGATTCGTAATTACATATTTTCATTCTATTTTTGATATAATGTGTTATTTATTGAGTAATTATTAGTAATTGGATTTATAAAAAAAAGAAGGTTATATTAAAATATGACCCTTATCTTTAAAGAAGCAAGGTCTTACTGGTTATCATGTGGGATTCTTAAGCTACATATAATAAATAAAAATAAAACATAATAGATAAGATAAAGCAAAGCATAATACCTATGTATGTAAATGGTGTTGCTAAGCATATATATATATATATATATATATATATATATATATATATATATATATATATATATAATATAAGCAGTAACTTATCAAGTGAAGCTTTGTTATGTTATTATGAGTACCAATGATTGGACACTTTAAATAATAAGACAAGAAAATTTTACTTTTAAAGGACAATCAAGATACATATTTAAAATCTGGTTTGATCTGATCAATTTAATATAAGATCTGTATACAAAAAGTTATTGTTTATTTAAATGTGCAACTGCCGACTCCATTTTATATCCCTTGAGGTATATTGTGAAGATGTATGCTTTTGGTATATATCAAACCTATGCAAGGTTACAAATAAACTAACAGACTGAGAAACATGTATCTGTATATATTTCATACTAGGGAGTCACTCTTGCTTTGTTTGGGTTCGTCCCTAGCTTGCATCCCAATACAAACTTATCCCCATTTTCACCCCCTTAAGGGATGATTTCCTGGATAAAAATATCCTATGTCCTTCCCAGGGTCTCGGACTATCTTCTTACCAAATTTCATCTAAATTGGTTCAGTAGATTCAGAGATTACCCCCTACAACGTCACAAAGTCACAAACTCACGAACTCACAAACTTACGAACTTTACCGATGTTATTGTAATAATGAAATTTATTTACAGACATCGCAACACACATGCCCGTATCAGTTTTATGATAGTGGGTGTGATGGAAATGTCACAACAGGGCGGTGCCGAGGCGGAGAGCCTGCTCCGCTCGGAGCGGGGCGCTGTCGTCATGCCTGGACAAAGACGTAAGTTTATAATGCTCAAACTAAGATTATTGTTTTTAAATTATTATATGAATAGACACAAATGTACTGCACACAACATTTACGACTTGACAGCTCAGAATTCTGCAACTATTGAATTGAACAGTAAAGTGGCATAAAAACGTAAAAGAAATATCCAGGGATCCAAACGCTTACTTAAATCGATTTCTTTTTTTTTCACTCCTGATTTAATAATAATGTGAACTATATGAACATACAATAATATATTATATTATGTGTATATTTTATATATTTTTTATTATTTTTATGTGGTTAAAGAAAAAATGTGATTATTTTTCGCTTTGTTGGAGATTTTTATTTCTAATGAAGTAAGTAGGTACATAATATATTTTATTGTTGTCCATTTCAATTCCTTGAATCAAATCAATTACTTAAAAATTCAAATAACGCTAATAACGTTTTCTTTCTAATTCTAAAATTCAACAAAGTGATATCAATACTGCAAACGCAGAGGCCAAATATTTTAGGTAATACTAGACAGATGAGATAAGTTAGAACTGTGTCACCGATTATATTTATCGATGTTGAGTAATTTTTGCCTGTTATCTCCTCATTAGATGAATTTGAAACCTAGTAAAAATATATGTATAACTTTACAGACTAATATTAACGGGAATTTTTTTTTACGAGTTATCATTTCACTCACTTAGACTGTAAAAAACCTATGATATTATAAAAGAATATTATAAAAACAACTTGTAGGTATCTACTATACCTAACAGTACTAGAGGTCATCCCCTCTCATTTTACTTTATAATATCTATAATAATAATAATAAATAGATTATTTTTACCTATCTACATTACCTACATTAAGTATTTTGAATCGTATCTTTATCAACTGACTTCAAAAAGGAGGAGGTTCTCAATACGACTGTTTTTTTTTATGTTTGTTACCTCAGAACTTCGTCATTTATTAACCGATTTGGACAATTTTTGTTTTGTTTGAAAGGGTATACTTCCAGATTGGTCCCATTTAAATTTCAAAAAAAAAATACCACCCCTAAGGGTGGAAAAATAGCTAATGATGGATTTAACCTACTTCTAATTGTCATATTGACTTGAAACTTTGCAAGTGTTTCTATTTCCGTTGATTCGGTATTGTTGACCTGATCTGATGGTAAGGCCAGAAGGTGGATAGGTGGAACTCTTCAACGGCTAATAGTAGATACTTTGAGTTTGGGCTTATTTTGTTTGATTCGACAAGCTTAACACGTTAGAATTCTTACTTTGCTACTACTGTCTACACTAAAAAGGGAAAAATAAAAACTTTTTAACAAAAAAATAAAAACCGACTTCAAATAAAAGCACTAAAAAGTAAAAAATAACTGATTGGTAGTTTTCATTTCCTATACATACCTAATCAAATATTTTCGAAGTCGGTGTGCTTTGGCTAAGTAATTACCTA